GCCCTTTGTTTGCAGAGAGACACTGTGCCAACTCAGCAATTCCTTCTATAGACACCTTGACCTTGCTTTGGGTCTTGGCTCAGCTAGGGAATGGATTTCCCCTCTATCCTTTGTGGTATCCAATTTGGAGAATGTGACATAGGGACATATGTGACAAGTGCTAACCAACGCTGACAGTGCTTAGCTTCCAAGATCAGATGGGATTTGGTACCTTGGGAGTATTTATGCACAAACTGCTTTTGGAGAACTCTTCACTATGACCAATTAGTTTTAAAAACCCTACCTGTGTGTGTGTGTGTGTGTGTGTGTGTGTGTGTACACACACATCTCACTTTCCCAAGGACATGTTAGGGTGGAAAACAAGGAAACTGGAGACTTGAATGATTATGATTTTGGTAAATTACCTCCTGTTTACATGTGTTTATTTGTGTTTGCCACTTGCAATTCTTTCCAACTCTATATTCCTATCGCTATCCATCTGCCTGCAGCTTCTCTTAATGCCTTATTGAAGTGGTTCTCAACCTTCCTAATGCTGCAACCCCTTAATCCAGTTCCTTATGTTGTGATGACCCCCATCCATAAAATTATTTTTCTTGCTACTTCACAAGTGTAATTTTGATACTGTTATGAATCGTAATCTGATATGCAGGATGCATTTTCATTCACTGGACCAAATTTGGCACTAATATCCAATACGCCCACATTTGAATACCGGTGGGGTTGGGGAGGGGATTAGTTTTGTCATTTAGGAGTTGTAGTTGCTGGGATTTATAGTTCACCTACCACCAAAGACCATTCAGTACTCCATCAACGATGAAATTGAATCAGTCTTGGCACGCAGAACTCCAACGACCAACAGACATGCTGGAAGGGCTTGGTGGGCACTGACCTTGAATTTTGGAGTTGTAGTTCACCTAAATCCAAAGAGCACTGTGGATTCAAATGGTGGTGGATCTGGACCAAACTTGACAGAAATACTCAATATGCCCAAATGTGAACACTGGTGGAGTTTGGAGAAAATAAACCTTGACATTTGGAAATAATAGTTGCTGGGATTTATAGTTTATATATATACTAGCCGTCCCCTGCCACATGTTGCTGTGGCCCACATGGGGGTTCTGTGTGGGAGGTTTGGCCCAATTCTATCGTTGGTGGGGTTCAGAATGCTCTGTGATTGTAGGTGAACTATAAATCCCAGCAACTACAACTCCCAAATGTCAAGATTCTATTTTCCCAAACTCCACCAGTGTTCACATTTGGGCATATTGAGTATTTGTGCAAGTTTGGTTCAGATCCATCATTGTTTGAGTCCACAGTGGTCTCTGGATGTAGGTGAACTACAACTCCAAAACCAAAGGACACTGCCCACCAAACCCTTCCAGTATTTTCTGTTGGTCATGGGAGAACTGTGTGCCAAGTTTGGTTCAATTCCATCATTGGTGGGGTTCAGAATGCTCTTTGATTGTAGGTGAACTATAAATCCCAGCAACTACAAATCCCAAATGACAAAATCAATTTTTGAGTGAAGAACATACATTGGGTTGTTAGATGTCTTGTGTCCAAATTTGGTGTCAATTCATCCAGTGGTTTTTGAATTCTGTTAATATCGCAAACAAACATTTTTATTTATATAGATTATTATTATTAGTTAATGTACAATCAAAGAGCACCCTGAACTCAACCCAGAATGGATTTCCATCAAACTTGACACACTACCTACATGGTCAACATTGAATACTGGTGGTGTTGGGAGGTGGCTGTTTTTGGAATCTGGGAGTTGTAGTTCACAGGCAGAGGAGGACAGGCAGAGAGATCTCCAGCCTTCTCTGCTAAAAGGGTTGCTAAGACCATCAGAAATATGATGGTCTTCGGCGTTCCCTCTGAAACCCCCCCCCCACGACCCCCCCTCAGGGGTCCCAACCCCACTGGTTGAGGAACATTGTCTTATTGTCTCTATCCTTTTTGCCATACCCAGTGTTTTATAAATGCACACAACACAGCTGACAACTTTGTTCAGATAGTATGATGTAGTGGTTTGACTGCATCATTGGAGAGACCAGGATTTGAATCCCTGCTCAGCCATGGAAAACTTTTGCAAGTCACACTCTCTCAGCTTCATTAAAAAATCAAATGCAACCTCCCGTCCCCGTCCCCAAAGCAGTCTTGCCAAGAAAACCTTAGTATAGGTTTGCCTTGAGGGTCACCATAATTTGGAACCGGCTTGAAGTCCTGCAACTGAAACACCTAGTGTGAGATTCCCAAAGCCAATAAATTCTGCCTTTGTTCCATTCCAGCCAAGTTAATAAGTAATAGTGGCTCAAAGAGGAAAGTCTTTTAATCTTACATGCCCTGCTCAGATACATTTTGATCCTGAATGCTGCTGAACAATTCTTTACCTTGTATTTCCCCTCTCTCTGTGAGATTGGACTGTTTGCCTTGCCAGGAGTAGAGGCAGTACGAACAACTAAACAATGGAATTCCTTGCCAACATGGCACAACCCATTCCTCACCGAAACTGTGAGCTGTTCCCAGTGGGAGACAGAGTAAAAACAGAAGCAGAATATGACATTTCTTAGGCGTGCCTTCATAAGATACCATAGAAGATGTTTGGTTTGAAGCCCAGCTTAGCCATGAAACCAGCATAGGCAAGTCACACCCTCTCAGCCTCAGAGGAAAGCAAAAGGCAAATCTCTCCTGAACATATCTGGTCAAGAAAACCCTGTGGTAGTTGCTTTGAGTCTCCTTTGTGGAGAGAAAAAGCAGGGAATGCAAATAATAATAATAACAATAATAATACAGTAGTAATAAAAAATATAGAACTGGCACAAGCCAGTAAAGGTGGTCCTTTACTGTGTACTAATCTTGTTGTATATCGAATGATGATGATGATGATGATGATGATGATGATGATGATGATAGAACTGCAAAGACTCTGGCACAAGACAGTAAAGATGTTCCCAGTAGTGATCGGCACACTGGGTGCAGTGCCTAAAGACCATGGCCTGCACTTAAAAACAATCAGCACTGACAAAATTACCATCTGTCACATGCAAAAGGCTACTCTACTTGGATCTGCACATGCATCACACAGTCATAGACACTTGGGAAATGTCTGACATGTGATCAAATACAAAAGCCAGCATAGTGATCTTGTTTGCTGTGTACTAATCTTGTTATGTATCTAATAATAATAATAATAATAATAATAATATGAGGATTTAAAGATCGAACTGCAAAGACTCTGGCACAAGCCAGTATAAGTGGTCCCAGTGGTGATCGGCACACTGGGTGCAGTGCCTAAAGACCTTGGCCTGCACTTAAAAACAATCGGAGCTGACAAAATTACCATCTGTCAGCTGCAAAAGGCCACCCTATTCATTTGCATGCATTATTCACCAACACATCACACAATCCTAGATACCTGAGTAGTGCCTGACATGTGATCAAATATAAAAGCCAGCATAGTGATTTTGTTTGCTGTGTGCTAATCTTGTTATGTATATAATAATAATAATAATAATAATAATAATAATAATAATAATAATACATGTGGTCTATTGGAAACTAGGCAAGTGGGGTTTATATAAATATGGAATAATGTCCAGGGTGGGAGAAAAAACTAGGGTGGGAGAAAAAATAATAATAAGCAGAGTGTCTTCTGTGCACTCATCTTGTGGTGTTAATAATAATAATAATAATAATAATAATAATAATAATGAGAAACAGCTGGAAAAGCTGACACGATAAGAGGATTTAAAGATCGAACTGCAAAGACTCTGGCACAAGCCAGTAAAGGTGGTCCCAGTGGTGATCGGCACACTGGGTGCAGTGCCTAAAGACCTTGGCCTGCACTTAAACACAATCAGCACTGACAAAATTACCATCTGCCAGTTGCAAAAGGCCACCTTACTGGGATCTGCACGCATTATTTGCCGATACATCACACAGTCCTAGACACTTGGGAAGTGTCCGACGTGTGATCCAATACAACAGCCAGCAGAGTGTCTGCTGTGGACTCATCTTGTGGTGTTTCTAATAATAATAATAATAATAATAATAATAATAATAATAATAATAATAATAATAATAATAGAGTTTTAGAGCCACTGGTTTCCTAATAATGCAACTCTGGCCATCGAAAGGAAACAACACATTGTCCTAACAAAATATGAACAGGATTGTTGTAGGTTTTTTGGACTGTATGGCCATGTTCTAGAAGCATTCTCTCCTGACGTTTTGTGTGCATCTGTGGCAAGCATCCACAAAACCTCACAACCTCTGAGGGTGCTTTCCACAAATGCAGGTAAAATGTCAGGAGAGTATGCTTCTAGAACATGGTCATACAGCCCAAAAAACCTACAACAACCTAGTGATTCCAGCCATGAAAGCGTTCGACAATATATCAAAATATGAACATCACCCTTAACTTCTTACATAAACTGCACAGCAGAGCATACTGACACAATACTATTTTGTTGTTGTTGTGTGCCTTCAAGTTGTTTATGACCTATGGTGATGACTCTAAGATATTTCTGTGGCTGAGAGAATGTGACTCATTCAAGGTCACCTAATGGATTTCTGTGGCTGAACGGAAATCGAACCCTGTTGTCCAGTCATGGTCCAAAACCCAAACCGCTATGTATTGTTGAAGGCTTTCAAGGCCAGAATCACTGGGTTGTTGTAGGGTTTTTCAGGCTATATGGCCATGTTATAGATGCATTCTCTCCTGACATTTCGTCTGCATCTATGGCAAGCATCCTCAGAGGTAGTGAGGTTGTGTCACACAAGCTTATACCAGTTTGATATCGCATTAGCAGCCATGTCTCTTTCTTCCCCTCCTCCCCCTTTCCATTTTCTGCAAACACAAAGCCTTGCGCACTGGAAGTCATGAGTCAACATTCCCAATGTACACATGCGGTCACCACATGTTGCCTTAATCGAGAAAAGGCATCTCAGTCAATGTGTTATTCTTCTCCCTTCCCCTATTCTTTTCTTTGCAGGTGCCACTGAACCAGATCGGCGAGATGTCTTGATAGGAGAAGGCTTTTGCTGGAACCGCAGCCATTGCTCCTGTCTTCGAATTCTTCGTGTCTGGTGACACATCAGCTTCTCATTGAGGGAACTGGTTCATTTATGCGTCCCTTGGTGGATATGGATTAAATGAAGGACTAAAGCTCTATGGAGAGACTTCTAGCTTCCATAGACATGCTACGAAGAGACTCGGATCATAGAAGAACAGGTCCATGTTTTGATTTTCCAGGCTGGACCCACCGGCAGATCCTTCTCCAAGGCAAACTGGCCTGAATTGGTGGTCCCCATACTCTCCAGTTTGGGTGACGAGTCCTTGCAGAGCCCCTACTCAATGCCCCCCTAATTGTTGCTGTTTCCAAACTCCCTGTGTATAGCTTGGCTGAAGGAAGCTGAGAAGATGCTGGACCTCAGCTTTCTGACCGAAGATGAGTACGGAAAACTGATGAAAGTTCTGCAGAGGGATGCAGAACTCAAGAAGAAAGATGGTGACCGCATCAGGTATGAAGGTGGAACTATAATGTTTTCATATTGGGAAAGGTGAAGCTTCACTTGGCCTAGCATTGGGCCACATGAAGCAACAGGTTTGAGGGATCATATGGATAATTGTTTCATTGGTGGTCATGTTTATTTTAAATAGCCAGGGATATGGAAGGTGTTGCATCCCAGCAAGAATTCTCCTTGCACACAACACCAGCCAGGAATCCCCAAAGTGGCAATAAAATAGTTAATTAAGGAAAGTACATATAAAAAGGAAAAATCACCATGAGAAACAAGAAAGGCAAAATCAACAGGTAATGGGAAAAATCATCAACAAGCAATAGGCCAATTCAAACTGGCAATAGGGAAAAACACTCCAAAGGCAATAATCCAATTTTCCTACGAGGGTTGAATGAAAAGTAATTCCTCCACCTTCGTTACTTGGGTTTGGATGGGAATATTTTAATAAAGCAAATGCAGAAATAATCCTTAGAATGTGCTCTTTAACTACCACTATTCACTTTTCCACATAATCACCAGACAATTGGATACATTTCTGCAACACATTGAACAAGTTTTCTGAAGCCGTCACGGAAGAAGTCGACACTCTGTTTCCGCAACCCATAGTGCTCAGATCTTCCAATAGCGAAGTAAAGCAATAATGTGACCCACACGTTCTTGTGAAATGCTGATTATGCTCGAAATTTCTCTCTGATACGATGATCGTCCTGAATCAATCTGTCAACCTGTTGCTTGTGAAACTCGATGGTTGCTGTCACAGGACATCCAACTCTTTGCTTGTCACACAAGTCAGTTGTTCCCACCTCAACATCTTTAAACTTACTCGCCCAAAAATGCACAGTACTCACATCACACAATCACCATAAACAGCTTGCATTCTCTGATGAATCTCCTTTGGGGTGACACTTCTGCTGTCAAGAATTCAATGACTGCATGTTGCTTAAGTCGCATTGACCGACTATCTGTGCAGGGTTGCATACTTCACACTTTAACAACACAACCATTCAATGCTAAGACTTCCCACCAAACTGGAACTGTAGAGGAGAGTCTACTGAACAAGTCAGTACCTGCCACATACCAGTACTGCCATCTGTTGAGTTACGAAGGTGGAGACATTACTTTTCATTCAACCCTCATAGTTTCCAACAGACCTCACAACCTCTGAGGATGCCTGCCACAGATGCAGGTGAAACATCAGGAGAGAATGCTTCTAGAGCATGGCCATAAAGCCCAAAAAACCTACAACAACCCAATAATCCAAACAGTTCAAACAAGAAACAGGAAAAACCAGAATCAAAACATGACTCATAATATGAACATTAACCCAAAAGCAAGAGTATTGAAACTTCTTAAAACATGAATCCAAACTCCCAAGTTTATAGACTCAAACCATGAACTGGAAACAATGTTTGAGATTCTCACTGCTTTGCAGTGTTGCCTGATCTGAATTCTAAAGGTACTACTCTGATTTAAGGACCACAAACCATGAAGTCTTTTCAGTGATGTTGGCTCCCTTGCCTGTGAGATTTCTCACACTGTTGTTTCTCACAGAGTTTGTGACTTTCTTAGCTTGCTTGATTCCCCATTAAGATCAAGCCTGACCCGTCTGCTGAGCACAGGTGTGTTTTTGGGTGAGCTTTCTTGCCCATTTGATTCCTTATCAGGGGTTGCTGTGACACTACTAGGTAAAAGGACTCTGCCAGCCACTGCATCTCCCTGTCTGCTGGACTCCGAAGTAGTTTCACTTTCAAGCCCATTCTCCCAGACAAGATCTTGATCTAAAACCCCCACATTTACCACCATTCTCCGATGCTTTGGAATACCAATCCCTTCATCTTCATCTGGCTGAACCACAACAGAAGGGTGGTTTTCTGCCTTATATGCCAAAATACCTTGCAAACTTTTGGCTACTGTGTCCCTTGACCTAGCTGAATGTAGAATGGTGTGGCGTGGGATTTTTGTGTCAATGATTAGGAGAATCCACTCTTGGTGTATTATTCCAGACTTTTCATGGAGCTAGCCATGGTGCTGAATTCATTTGCAGAATAGGATTCAGCATCTTGGGCAGCTCTGGTCAGTCATAAACCTCAGTCAATTAATCATGCCATAAACATTTCCATTTGTAGTTTTTTTCCTATATAAATGGACATCTAATGAACCAAATCCTAGTTATCTAACAGAACGTTCCCATTTAAGTTCTCTCTCTGCACCTTTGCTCTCTTGTTCCTTCCATCTTTCTTTTCTCCAAAATCTTGATCTACCTGCAAATTGGATTCCTCACCTTTCACTTAGCATGCCTTCACAATCCTTTATCATTCTTGACACGGAATATTACTGTTTGGCATATTATAGAAGTGCAAACTTTACCAAAGTATGTATTCTACTTGAACATCTTTGATGAAGGTTGGTTTACAAAGTATCTTCAGTCAATGCATATAAAATGTATAGAAAACTAGCGTCTGATGGCTTTTCATTCCTCCTTAGACGTATACAAGGCTCACTGAAGGATGAAAAGAAGAAGAAGTTTGTGACGGGTGAATGGTTTCATGAGGTGAAGGCGCAACGCTTCCAGGAGGCCTTGGAAGGGCCGGATCTACTCCGAGCTTCAATTAAAAAGAAAAAGAACAACTTTGATGGTGAGAATGTGATAACTAGTCACAAGTGCAATTCAAACAGTCTTCTCAGTTGTGATTTAGAACAATGTTATTTGTAGTTCAATCAGGGGCAATCTACAAAACCATCGACTGCTGGTCTGCAAAGAGTTTCCAGAAAAGAAAAACAAGGACCAGTTGCACCCACTGGTACAAAATAAATAAATAAATAAATAAATAAATAAATAAATAATAATACACTTTATTTATATTATGCTTTATCTCTCCTGAGGGTCTCAAAGCTGCCAGTTTGCTACCAGGCACAATTCAAAGTGCTGGCTTTAAAGCTCCAAATGGTTCTGGCCCAACTTACATGTCCGAACACATCTCCCCTTATGAACCATCTAGGACCTTAAGATCATCTGGGGAGGCCCGGCTCTCGTTACTGCCTTCGTCACAAGTACGTTTGGCGGAAACACAAGACAGGGTCTTCTCGGTGGTGGCCCCTCGGCTATGGGACGCCCTTCCTATAGATATTAGATCGGCCACCTCCCTTTTAACATTCTGGAAAAAAGTCAAGACGTGGCTTTTTGAACAAGCGTTTGCAAATGTAGAGTAATTGACACAGGAAAATGGAAGGACTAGACGATGAGTCCGGACAACGTTTTTAAGAAGGAGACACTATGAATCTATGTTTTATTGATTTGTTTAGTTTTTATTATATGTTATGTTTTTAATTGTATTTGTGACATTGTAAGCATTTAATTTTGCCCTGTTAACCGCCTTGAGTCACCTACGGCTGAGAAAGGCAGTATACAAATACAGCAAATAAATAAATAAATACAGTATACAAATATAAGGCAAACATTCAATGTCTATTACATAGGGAGCAACAATGACATTCAATACACAGCTAAAGTTCAAGGCCTTCCCCTTTCATCTCTGACATCTGGAGGTGATGCTCAACTCTGGCCATAGGGAGGTGCTCTTTTTCCATTATTTCATGCCAAGGAGCCTGTTGTCCATAGACGTCTCCAATCGTGTTTGCCAGCATGTCTGCATGGGGTGCCATTTTACCTTCTCACTAAGGTGGTACCTATTGATCTACTCACATTGCATGTTTTTGAACTGCTAGGTTGGCAGAAGCTAGGGCTGACAGTTGGGAGCTCACCCCGGCATGGCTTCAAACTGCCAACCCTCCAGTCAGCAGATTGCCTGCAGGTAGTGGCTCACTGCTATGGACTCCTAGGAGCTGTAGTTTGGTAAGACCCCAACATTCCTTGGTAGAAAAGGCCAAAGACCTTGTAGTTAAAGTAGTGTCAAACTGCATTAATTGTACCATGTTGAGGCACCCGAATGATTCTAGCATTGGCATTCCATTTTTGGTGCTCTTCAGTGAATTTGCATTCTGATGGAACAAGGGAGGTCCTCAGCAGTGCAAAAGGGTATAGAGAAAGTGTGTTCGCTGCATCCAAAACTGCTTACGTCCTCCTTCTTGGCTTGAAAACAGTTTCTGGAATGAAACAAAGCTGGCCAGACAGAGCTTTTATGCAGTGATTTATTAAGGTTGGGCTCAACTCCAAATCCCGCTAGCGAGAATGTGGCACTTGGACATCAGGGTGCCTTTATGCATAAGAACTGCCATGGGGTTATTCACATGGGCATGGAGGAAGACATATCCTCTAAATTCTTTTCCTTCCCATTTGGCAAAGGGGGAACATTGTTTATGGATGGATGGAAGGAAGGAAGAAGAGAAAGGGGAAATGGAAGGGAGAAAAGACTAGGGATTGCTTCTGTGATACTGTGAACCTTTGATACTTGTCAAGTTGTAGGGGGAAAGTGAGTCCTTTTTCTTTGGAGTTACCTCTTTTTAAAATAATTCCATCTATATAAATAAAAATGCAATGTTTGTTTGTGGGATTAACATAACTCAAAAACCACTGGATGAATTGACACCAGATTTGGACAGAATATACCTATCAGGCCAACAAGTAACCATCACTCATAAAAACACTGAAAAACACAACAGAGGAGATTTTAAAAGCCAAAAAATAAAAAAATACATTACTGCGCATGCACAAAACCACTTATATACACATATACAAAAATATATACATACATATATACACATACAAAAAACTTATACGCAGACTGGACCACAGCAACGTGTGACAGGGGAAGTCTAGTCTATATCAATAAAAATGTAATATTCATTTGTGGGATTAACATAACTCAAAAACCACTGCTGTGTTTTTCAGCGTTTTTATGAGTGATGGTCACTTGTTGGCCTGATACGTGTATTGTGTTCAAATTTGGTGTCAATTCATTCAGTGGTTTTTGAGTTATGTTAATCCCACAAATGAACATTACATTTTTATTTATATAGATTTGAAACACAACAAGATGAGTCCACAGCAGACACTCTGCAGCGACTTGAGAAAAGATTATTATTATTATTATTATATTATTATTATTATTATTATTATCCGTCCCCTGCCACACGTTGCTGTGGCCCAGTCTGTGTATATGTGCTTTGTGTGTGTATATATTTGTGTATATGTGTGTTTGCATATATATGTGTGTGGTTTTGCACATGTGTTGTAATGTATTTTTTTTGTGTGTTGTTTGCCAGGGGAAGGCATTTTTGCATATGCGCTGTAGCATCCTTTTGCATCTTTGCTTTTTAAGTGCCTTCCGCTGTGTTTTTCAGTGTTTTTATGAGTGATGGTCATTCGTTGGCCTGATTGGTATATTGTGTCCAAATTTGGTGTCAATTCACCCAGCGGTTTTTGAGATATGTTAATCCCACAAACGAACATTTCATTTTTATTTATATAGATGTATATTTATGCATTTCTTATTGCGGACACTATGCTGTGCCGGTTGTTAGCTGCCCTGAGCCCCTCTGTGGAGGTGAGATAGGACGGGATATAAATGCCCTAAATAAATAAATATAATGCTGTAATAGTTTGCTAGTTTCTGAGTTCTCCAAAACACTTGATGTGATAAAGTGGTTTTTTAAAAAAAGAATCATAGGAATGGTATGACATAGACGCCCAGAACTTTGCCAGCTGTTCTAGCTATGAGGTTTTCAGTAAACCGAGCCTGAAGGTGAGAAATGCAGGTGAGTCACTGGGAGGTGCGCAGATATCAGAATGGGTCATCAGAAGGTTGCAAAACACGAAACCGATCACTCGTCTGTCCAAAGTATTGAGTCATGGTGCTTCAAATGGTGTCAAACTGCATTAATTCTACACTGTAGATGCACTCTAAGTCTACTTCTTCAGATGCATGGCATGTAGCACCTACAAACAGACCTTTATGCAAACTTTGTGATAAATCAAGTCTTTGTTGCTGTTGTTTGGGGGCTAAATTCATGGCCAACGACAGGAGTCCCAATGAAACCAGTGGGACATACATGACTTGTAACTCACAAATCTTATTCACTTTAATGGATATGCTCAACCTGGAAGTGTGATTTTTTGTGTGTATCAGAAGCGATGAGACAATGCAAGTTGCTTCTGGTGCGAGAGAATTGGCTGTCTGCAAGTATGTTGCCCAGGAGATGCCTGAATATTTTATGTTTTACCATCCTTCTGGGAGGCTTCTCTCATGTCTCTGCATAGGGAGCTGGAGCTGACAGAAGGAGCTCAACCCACTCTCCATAGATTCAAACTACTGACCTCTCAGTCAGCAGTCTTGCCGACACAAGGGTTTAACCCATTTCACCACTCCAGGAAGTGTACTGTAGAATGAATACAGTGGTTTGACACCACTTTAAATGCCACAATTCCCTGCTATGGAGTTATGGGAGTTGTAGTTTTATAATGTCTTTAGCTTTCTCTGCCCAAGAGAGTTTTGCTTCACCAAACTACACCACACATACACCCCGCGGATTCCATAGCATTGATAAATCATGTCTTTGTTGCTATTGTTTGGTATTGTTAGCATTGAGCTGGTATCAGACTGCATTCATTCTAAAGTATAGATTCACTTTGAGATGGATTTAGTTCTTTGGTTAGTTGGTTGGTTGCTTGCTTGCTTGCTTGCTTGCTTTGAATTTTTCCTGAGCATGAGAAAAATAACAATAGGAGCATGAATTCTTCCCGGTTTACATATCTTGAATGTCTGGTTGTTTATTGGACCTCTGTTTTTAAAGGGATAATAAAACTGGTGAAGAGGTAATAAGCTTAAAAGGCTGGACCTTTAGCAAAACAAAGATTTGAGCATGCCAAACTGGTTGGACGACCGTGAGGCCACCGTTGTCGTTTCCTTTTCAGTTTTAGCTGTCCGTCCAAGTTATACTCTGGCAGGTGCATTATACCGAAATATAGTGGAAAGAAAAAGAAATGGCATTTATATTCGCAGGGAAAGTGGATGATTTGTTAGATACCCATAACAAACCTCAACTGCAATCGGGTCAGTGATAGGAAACTTTGTTTTGTTGCAATATGATCCCTGCATGGGAAATTTTCCATAATATGTTGAATATTGTGCAATGCAACCTTTGAACTGCAAGATCAGTTTTGAAAGGCAGCAGATTACAGGAGCTGTCTTCATAGACCTGTCAGCAGACTATGACACTGCAAATCATCACCTTCTCCTAAGGAAAACTTATAATATCACAAAGGACAACCACCTCACCTACTTCATAGGAAATCTGCTACAAAACAGGAGCTTTTTTGTTGAGCGCCAGGGCCATCAGAAGGTTACAAATGGTGAAAACAGAAGAACGGCCCTTAGAGGAGCGTGCTTGCTCCATCAGTGCTCAACATTTACACATATATCAGCCACTGCCAGAAGGGACAGAGAGTTTCATCTATGCTGACGATTGTGCCATCACCACCCCAGCAGAGAGCTTTGAAATGGTTGAACAGAAGCTCTCTGAAGCTTTAGGTGATCTTACTGCCTATTACAAGGAAAACCAGGTGATTCCTAATCCATCTAAAATACAGACATGTGCTTTTCACTTTAAGAATAGACAAGCATCTCAAACTCTGAGGATTACCTGGGAAGGAATTCCACTGGAGCATTGCAACACACCAAAATACTTGGAAGTTACCCTGGACCGTGCTCTGACTTACAAGAAGCACTGCTTGACTATCAAGCAAAAAGTGGGCACTAGAAATAATATCATACAAAAGCTGACTGGCACAACCTGGGGATCACAACCAGACACAGTGAAGACATCTGACCTTGCGCTATGCTACTCTGCTGCTGAGTGATGAACGCATCTCACCATGTTAAAACAGTGGATGTGGCTCTTAATGACACATGCCACATTATCAGAGAATGTCTACGCCCCACACCACTGGAGAAATTATACTGCTTAGCCAGTATTGAACCATCAGTCAGTAATGAAAGGACCAAGACAATGACATCTCTGCCTCATCCCTGTTCAGATATCAGCCAGCATGCCAATGCCTTAAATCAAGAAATAGTTTTCTAAGATCTACAGAGACACTCGCTGGAACACCTCAGCAAGCAAGAGTCCAAACGTGGCAGGCTCAAACCCAGAACCTCAATCAATGGCTGATACCAAATGAGAGACTCCCCCCTGGGCACACAGAAGACTGGGCGACTTGGAAGGTGCTGAACAGACTGCGCTCTGGCACCACGAGATGCAGAGCCAACCTTAAGAAATGGGGCTACAAAGTGGAGTCCACAGCACACGAGTGTGGAGAAGAGCAAACCACAGACCACCTATTACAATGCAACCTGAGTCCTGCCACATGCACAATGGAGGACCTTCTTATAGCAACACCAGAGGTACTCCATGTGGCCAGCTACTGGTCAAAGGACAATTCGTATAATTTTTTTAACTTTGATTGTGTTTTTAAATACATTACAATTGTACCATCAGTTAGCTTCTGACACGATAAATAAATGAATAAGTCTGGACACACTAAAGGGCTGAACATGTCATTAGATTCTGTAGAATTAATCCAGTTTGATGCCACTTTAACTGCAATGGCTCCATTCTCCGAACCTTGGGAGTTGTAATATGTTGTGGCACCAGTCCATTTTGGCAGAGAAGACAAATGTCCTTACCAAACCGCAACTCCCATAATTCCATAGTATTGAGCTATGACAGTTGAAGTGATGTCAAGCTGCATTGATTTTGCAGTATAAATGTGCCCCACAGGTCAGTTTTGCCCCAAGCTAGATAGCTTTGAAACTCTCTTCACTGTGTATGTGAGGTACATTGTTTTCCTTTCAATAGATGCAACAACAGAACAGGAACATTGAAGCCACTGCTTCATTTTTTTGGCTGTCAGGGCAAACAATGCAAGATCTCCTTTTATTAGCTCTCTTGGCTGCTTCTGCTGTTTGCCCAGATCGGATGACTTTGACTCCAAACAGGAAGCAGCTCCCTTCAAATCCTGGAATGGATTATGATTGTTGACAGCTTCTGCCACATCCTGTTTAGCTTCGGAGCTGAACTTGTCAGCTGGCTGCCCAGAAACGGAAAATGAAAATTGGGCAGCCGCATGGCATCTCCATGAGTCTCCGTTGCTCCTTGCAATGAAAGGTTGTGCTAGAGCAGTGTTTCTCAACCTTCCTAGTGCCGTGACCCCTTAATACAGTTCCTCATGTTGTGGTGACCCCAACCATAAAATTATTTTCGTTGCTACTTCATAACTGTAATGTAAAGGTTTATTTATTATTTATTTACTTTATTTATATACCGCTTTTCTCAGCCCTTAGGCGACTCAAAGTGGTGAACAAGATCGATACAAAAGATCACGAAACAAATATAGGGCAATTAAAAACAATTGTAACATCTGGCATGTAGGATATATTTTCATTCACTGGACCAAATTTGGCACAAATACCCAATACGCCCAAATTTGAATACTGGTGGGGTTGGCGAGAAGTGAAGGAAAAACATAAAATCTAGGATGAAATTGTCCAAGTACTTACTTACTTGGGCGATCCCTCTTAGTCCAAGGATGGTGGTCCTCCAACGTCGGTGTTCTGGTGGTGGGTCCGTAGGTGACTGTGGAGCCCTATTTTTGATCTACATCAGTGGTTCTCAACCTTCCTAATGCCATGACCCCTTAATACAGTTACTCATGTTATGGCGATCCCCAACCATAATATTGTTTTCATTGCTACTTGATATCTGTCATTTTACTACTGTTATAAGCTGTAAATATCCAATATGCAGGATGTATTTCCATCCACTTGACCAAATTGACCCAATATGCCCAAATGTGAATGCTAGTGGGGTTGGGGGAGGATTGAGTTTGTAATTTGAGAGTTGTAGTTGCTGGGATTTATAGTTCACTTATAATCAAAGAGCATTCTGAACTCCACCAGCAATGAATTTGAACCGAACTTGGCACACACAGCTCCCACAACTAACAGAAAACACTGGAAGGGTTTAGTGGGCATTGACCTTGAGATTGGGAGTTGTAGTTCACCTATATCCAGAGGAGCACTGTGGATTCACGCAATGATGGATCTGGACCAAACTTGGCACAAATACTCAATATGCCCAAATGTGAACACTGGTGGAGTCTGGGGAAAATAGACCTTGACATTTGGGAGTTGTAATTGCTGGGATTTATAGTTCACCTACAATCAAAGAGCATTCTGAACTCGACCAACAATAGAATTGGGTCAAACTTCCCACACAGAATCCACATGGCCAACAGAAAATACTGTTTTCTGATGGTCTTTTGCGACCCCTTTTGACACCCCCTCATGACCCCCTCAGGGGTCCCGACCCCCAGGTTAAGAAACACTTATCTACATCTTCTCCCACAGTGAGGGCATTGGTTTCCGAGTGGAAAGCGGGTTGGCTTGGCGTGCCTTCCTCTCGGCACGTTTCTCTCTTTCACCCTCCATTCGTGCCTCTTCAAATTCTACAGCACTGCTGGTCACAGCTGACCTCCAGCTGGAGCACTCAAGGGCCAGGGCTTCCCAGTTCTCAGTGTCTATGCCAGAGTTTCTAAGGTTGGCTTTGAGCCCATCTTTAAATCCCTTTTCCTGTCCTCCAACATTCCTTTTTCCATTCTTGAATTTGGAATAGAATGATTGCTTTGGGAAATGGTGGTAGGGCATCCGGACAACATGGCCGGTCCAGCGGCAATGTCATTGGAGGGAGGGCTGGTGTTCCCTGAGTAGTGGGAGCTATACTGTTTGTGGAGGTAAGAGCTTGTGTGTGTAAGTGGACACATACACACATACATATTTTCACTTTTATTATATGTGTGTGTGTGTGTCCACTTACACAGACAAGCTCCTGTCTCCACAGGATTGTTAAATCAGAAGAGGCACATTTTCCACTGCAGCTTCATTCCACATCAACACGGTGCTCACTCCCTCAACACTTCACAAAGAAAAAATATTAATACTACATTTTTTCCTAACAGAGAAGAGTAATGAGCCAACTCAGGGGAGTCTGGAAGACAGAGATGTTTCCTTTCCATTGGAAGCAAGCAATTTTCCCTCTCCGAAATCTGAAGAAGAAAGGTAATTATTAACAAGGAGAAGTTCAGGTGTGGAAAAAGCATTGTGCATGAAAAAGGTCTTGGTTGAAAAGCTGGCCCTGCATTGTTTATTCATATAATTATTTACACAGGCAAAATGCCCCAAGGAAACTATAATTTAGATTGGAACCGAGCTTTCCCAGAAGGTGGGACAGAGTCATAATATTTCTACATTCCTTTCTGTGCACAATGTGCCATTTCCTTTGCAGAAAAGTGGGTGTTTGGTGCACAAAAATCACAACGTGCGTGTTTTTCACAAAATGAGTCCCAAGTTGCAAATGGGCTTTGAAAATTGTCTGATTCTCAAAGAGTTTCTTGCAGAAGAAAGAAAATCATTGCAATTGTTCAATAAAGTAGAGAGTAGTAAAGATATCAAGGTTTCCCTTGTCATGTAGTCCAGTCATGTCTAACTCTGGGGGTTGGTGCTCATCTCAAGCCAAAGAGCCGGCGTTATCCATAGACACCTCCAAGGTCGTGTGGCCAGCATAACTGCATGGAATGCCGTTAGCTTCCCACCAGAGCGATACCTATTGATCTACTCACATTTGCATGTTTTCGAACTGCTAGGTTGGCAGAAGCTGGGGCTAACAGCAGGAGCTCCCACCATTCCCTGAACCACTAAACTTTCAATCAGCAAGTTCAGCAGCTCAGCAGTTTAACCCGTTGCACCACCATAGGGCCCTAACCCCTAACCTGACACTCCTCTATTTTCAGGATTTGTATATTTTCAGTTGTTATTCTTCTTTCTTTGCAGACCATTTGAACCTCCTTTGGATTCTCCTGATGGACACCGAGCCAAACGAAAGCCAAGGCTGACATTGTCTTCTCCGCCATCTTCATCAGAAAAGGTAAAGAAGTCCAATATGATTTATTTACTTATTTACAGTGTTTATATTCCACCCTTCTCACCCCGCAGGGGACTCAGGGCGGATTACAATGTACATATACATGGCAAACATTCAATGCCATAGACACACAACATATATAGACAGACACTCAGAGGCTATTTAACATTTCAACTTCTGGCCACCAGGGGAGCTGCTGCTTCACCATCCGTTTGTGACACTGATGAAGTACTTCCTCATTCTTTGCATACTTCCTGGAGATTTTTATGGCCATGTAAATAAGTTAAATTAAATCAGTTAAATTGGTTCAACATGGTAGTAGATTCAGCACAGGCAAAAAGAATTATGGAAGATGTAGTACAAACAAGAATAACTGTCTGAACCTCTGTGTAAAACAGGAGTAGACAAAGCTCAGCCTACAAGTAGGGCTATCTAATGAAAAACTGGAGAAGGTTTATCTCTCTCTTTTTTTTTTTTTTTTTTTTTTTTTTTTTGTCGTGTCAAGAGTGACTTGAGAAACTGCCAGTCGCTTCTGGTGTGAGAGAATTGGCCGTCTGCAAGGACGTTGCCCAGGGGATGCCCGGATGATTTTGATGTTTTTATCATCCTTGTGGGAGGCTTCTCTCATGTCTCCCCGCATGAGGAGCTGGAGCTGATAGAGGGGGCTCATCCGCCTCTCCCCGGATTCGAACCTGCGACCTGTTGGTCTTCAGTCCTGCCGGCACAGTGCTTTAACCCACTGTGCCACCGGGGGCTCCATGGTTTATCTCATAACCAGGTCCTACAAATCACAACTGATGAAATCTCCTCTTCTATGCAAACTTTGAAAGGTGCAGCAGCCCTTTCCTGTTTTCACTCCAGCTTTTCTAGCTACATGAGGCCACTATGGAAAGATTTTTGTGGCCCTCGGGCCTTTGAGATGCCATTCTGTCCATACCAAAGTGCCCGTGCTTCTCCTGGAAGCATCTCAGAATTGCAATGCAGTCTGAAATAGATTCTAGCCAGTTACTTTACACTTTTTAGTATTTTCTTTGCAAGTTGAAACTGACTTCGCAACACTTCCTGTTTGAGACTTGTTTGTTTGTTCGTTTGTTTGTTTACAGTGATTTATATTCCGCCCTTCTCACCCGCAGGGGACTCAGGGCGGATTACAATGTACACATATATGGCAAACATTCAATGCCAAAGACACACAACAGATATAGACAGACAGTCAGAGGCTATTTAACTTTTCTGGCCGCCAGGGGAGCTGCCGCTTTCATCGTCCATCTGCGACACTGATGAAGTACTTCCGCATTCCCCGCATGCTTTGCTGGAGTCTTTTTTATGGCCTCATAAATTAGTTAAATTAGCCTCCCCACACATAGGTGGTACCTAATTTTCCTACTTGACAGATGCAACTGTCTTTCGGGTTGCAAAGGTCGACAACAAGCTACACAATTGGTCGGAAGCTCACTCCGACCTGGGCTGGCTTCGAACTCATGATCTTTTGGTCAGAAGTGATCTTAATGCAGCTGACACTCAGACAGCTGCGCCACAGTCCCGGTGCAGTCCCAGTTTATGGCCTTCTGGGAGTGCCAAGGGCAAAGAGTTTGCTTTCAAACCTGCCGCAGTGGTCCATGTGTCAATAAGCATGGTGCATGTGTCAATAACCTCATGGACAGGGTTTAACTCATTGCATTCCCTTCTCTTTTCAGAGTGTAGGAATGGACCTTGGTCTAATGATCACTTGGATGAAAGAGTTGCATTCACAATGTTATGGACACCAGCCAGAAGCCATATTGAACCCTAACAAAGCAATTCCTTTTCTAATAAAAATCTTTCCTTTTGCCTTCAGAGATCCAGTCTGGAGGATATATCCCCAGCAGACAGCGGGGTTGGGATAAGTCCGTTCTTGGGTTCGAGAGGAGATTTGCAAGGAGATGAGAAAGGTTTGCTCCTCTTTTCTAAAAAGTTAACTTTGGGGGTTTTGTCTCCAATAACACCAGCATGGAGCCAGGATGGCATCATGATTTGTGCATTGGACTATGATTTTGGAGGCCAGGGTTCAAATCTCCTCTTCACCAATAGATCCTCCCAGCCTCAGAAAAGGCTGTTATCATCAGTCAAACTTGAAGGCACATGACAACAACAACAACAACAACACCAGAAGAGAGCTTTGGAGTATATTCTCATAGTGTGGTAGGGTTCCCCTATCTTAGAATCTGCCCTTCTTCTCCAGTGCTTGGGGCAATGGGGAGGAATCTCAGGGTAATAGTACTGCCTTGTAAATGAGTGAATCATTAATGTCTGATGATGATGATGATGATGATGATGATGATAATGATGATGACATACAAGGATTTAAAAATCGAACTGCAAAGACTCTAGCACAAGCCAGTCAAGGAGGTCCCAACGGTGATCGGCACACTGGGTACAGTGCCTAAAAACCTTGGCCTGCACTCAAAAACAATTGATGATGACAAAATTACCATCTGTCAGCTGCCAAAGGCCACCCTATTGGAATTGTCATGAATGACTTTTCAATAACTTTAAAGCATAGGTTCTTTTTATTGCAATTTCCAGTGTGAGAGGGTATATCAGATTACAGAAAACATTTAGACAAAGAATGACATTAGACATACAGACATACGGATTCTATACAACTACATTGGATTTACAATTACATTGGTTAACACACGAACAAAGGGGAATTACATTTTCACTCAACATTTCTGTTATCACTGTCCCAATTCTTATCAGAGTTTACTTTTCAATTCTTATTAGCAGGTTTTAATCACAGTCCAGAAAGCAGGTAGCTAGTTATTGCAGGACTGGGTCTTTTACTGGTGTTTCCAAAATTATTAGTTCCATACATCCATTCATCTTCCATTCTTCCATTCATTCCCACACAACATATTAAATTCACATTTATAAAATCTGCACATTAAATTTTTGTGACAGGATCTGCGCACATTATTTGCCAATACATTATATAGTCATAGACACTTGGGAAGTATCCGACGTGTGAACCAATACAACAACAGCATAGTGATCTTTTTTGCTGTGTACTAATCTTGTATTAATAATAATAATAACAATAATAATAATAATAATAATAATAATCTTTATTTATACCTCGCCACCATCTCCCATGCTCCTTACGAAACACATGGTTTCCTAAGTCTTTGAGTGAAATGCAAAGGTTTGTGGCCTTAATGCACTGGTCTTTAATGTATCCCCTGTCTAGATATATTACATTGCTCTCTCACCCAGTGTTTTTAAAGTTTTAAGGCCTGCAATTAGCCCTGCCCACTGATTAACTCTCTGTGTTCAAATATTGTGATTTATATTGTCTGATGTGTTTATTTATATTGCTTTTTAATTTTATTCCTTTATATTTTATTGTTGTTTTCTTATGTGTATATTTGCATTGTTGTATTGTTGGGCTTGACCTCATGTAAGCCGCCCTGAGTCCCCTTGTGGAGATGGTGGCGGGTTGTAAATAAGATTATTATAATTATTATCATTATTATTATTATTATTATTATTATTATTATTATTTAATGGATTTAATACCAAAATTCTCCCAAATATCTCATGAAGGAGCTGGGGGTGGTGATGGCTGACAGGGAGCTCTGGCGTGGGCTGGTCCATGAGGTCAAGAAAAGTCGGAAATGACGGGATGAATGAACAACAACAATCTCATGAAGTTGACTGAGCTTCCAGGATAGTTGAGGAACACCACCAAATTGGTTGTGGCCTCAATATTGCAAATAGTGGTTCACTAATATTTTTGGACTGTAGTTCAAAAAGTTCCTGAAATCCTCCTGCCATCCTGATCAGTGGTCATGTTGGGTGGGGTGTTGTAATCCAAAAAGAATAACTTTTCTGAATTCTAACTTTCCCTTTATAATGGAGTCTTTGAACTAGCTCTGGGTGTCCTGTTTCCATCCCAGGTCATGAAATATCCAGTGTGATGTCTGCAAGGCTTTCCGAAAAGGATGTGACTGACTTCTCTCACTTTAGTAGAGGAGATGTTCCTGACTCTGTAGGAGTGATCTCAACTACTGCTGTGGAAGATAGAGCAAATCGGCAGACTCTACACGAAGATGTCAACACTTCTAGCAAGATCCCAATCAAGAGGAAGTCTAGCAACGAGCCGTTTGGTCCCATCACGGATCTGATTAACGGAGTTGGCAATGCTGAACTTGGTCTAACTAAGAGAGGATCACTGAAGAGCTCGAAAGGAGGGGAGAATGACCGGCTTGTGAAACAAGGACCCAACTATACGATCTCCTCTATGAGCAGCAAAGAGGAAGAAATGGCCCTCGATCGGGAACATTTCAAGAATTTGAAGAACTTTTGGGAGAAGGGCGGCGAATCCCTCTTGGCGAATGATGTGTCCGAACTACTGACGGAAAAAGCTGAGGTTAACGGAAGGCCATCAAGATTGAACCGATCTCTTTCAGCCCAGTCCAATCAAAGCCAAAATAGTGATGACAAGCTCAATTCTCATGTACACGGCAGAGCCAGAGTCCCCTACAGAAAGGCGGCCGTCTTGTCTTCCAGTGAGGACGAACCCAGTTACATAGCGCACCCGAGAAAAGGATCGGGATCAGGAATTCCTAGGTCCACCTATGGGAGGAACAAAGGGCCGATGGCTCGCAACAGCCTAAGCGATGGCAATGGGAAGCAGTCTTCAACAGAAGAAGAAAAGAAAGCCCAACGTTTCACAAGGAAATCAAAATTGCCGGTTCGAGTCCCGTCGGTCAAAATAGAGATGCCTTCTGTCGAGCAGATTGGGATCAGTTTTGAGCCAGAGACGCCCGCCGATGAGTTTGTCATGGCAGAAGAAAGCAGACGTAAGAGGGATTCCTTGGCCGGAAGGGTTCAGATACTGATTGAGTCCGTTCCTTCTTTAGAGTATATGGACAAAGATGGCAGTGTGGAAAATGAAAGTTTGGACTTGGGCTCTCAAAACAACCCAGAAGCGGACGAGACAATATCTAGCCAAGAACTTCCTCATTCTGCTGAAGGTGTGTCCCAAAATGGAACTTGTAGTGAAACAGGAAATACCAATGAAACTCAGGAAATGGATCCTTCTACCCCTTCAGGTACTGAGAGATGTTTTTGCTTTCATTTTAATGAAAAACAATTTCCTGCTAGCTAGTACTTAAAAGATTGTATGGGTATGTCCCAGTTGATCAAGCACACGTTTTCTTTGAACAGAAAATGTGGTGCCAGCGGCAGAAATAATATGAACGGAATAGGGTTCGCCAACAAGCATGTTCACAACACTTAGAAATAGAAGAGGAGATGATCCGAGAGGTCTCTGCCACACATTGTACGCCTTTATTCAAATACATCTGGATATTGTATGTGTCTCAAGTTCACAATCCATGCATTTCAACTGAGCATGCAAACCAGACAGATAATATACAAACCAAACATGCAAACCAGACAGATAATACATAAACCCATGCACAAATGTTTCAAAGTGTGGTTTGTTGTTTGAGGCTGGGGGAGAGACATAGATAGATGGATAGATAGATAGATATGTACCGTATATACTCGAGTATAAGCTGAACTTTTCAGCCCTTTTTTAAAAATGAAGAAGCCCCCTTCACCTTATACTCAAGTCAGTTATTTATTATTTTACTCTGTTATTATTATTATTATTATTATTATTACATTTATTATTTTACTCTATGTATTATTATTACATTTATTATTTTACTCTATGTATCATTATTACATTTATTATTTTTCTCTATTATTATTACATTTATTATTTCACTCTATTATTTTTGTTTTAGTACTTTTATTATTTTACTCTATCTATCATTATTACATTTATTATTCACTCTATTATTATTACATTTATTATTTCACTCTATTATTGTATTGTTGAAGGCTTTCATGGCCGGAATCACTGGGTTGTTGTAGGTTTTTCCGGACTATATGGCCATGTTCTAGAGATATTTTCTCCTGACGTTTCGCCTGCATCTATGGCAAGCATCCTCAGAGGTAGTGAGGTCTGTTCCTAGTTCCAACAGACCTCACTACCTCTGAGGATGCTTGCCATAGATGCAGGCGAAACATCAGGAGAGAATGCCTCTAGACCATGGCCATATAGCCCGGAAAAACCTACAACAACCCACTCTATTATTGTTTTTATTACTTTTATTATATTACTCTATCATTGTTATTATTACATTTATTATTGTACTCCCTTTATTATTATTACAATTATTATTTTGCTTTATTTTTATTATTACATTTCCATTATTTTCCTCTGTTATTATTAGTATCATTACATTTATTATTTTACTCCCTTTATTATATTATAAGGATCTGAAAGGACATTTGCATTGAAGAAAGTTAGAACAATGGTTTCATCAGGGTTAGACAGTCTTATCTTAAATTACAGTTTTATGTAAATATTCAAAAAATATTTAACATACTGATGCCTCAATTGAATTAGTTTTATTGGTATCTATTTTTATTTTGAAATTTACCAGTAGCTGCTGCATTTCCCACCCTCAACTTATACTCGAGTCAATACGTTTTCCCAGTTTTTTGTGGTAAAATTGGGTGCCTCTGCTTATATTCGGGTTGACTTATACTCGAGTAAATATGGTACATATGTACATAGATAGGCGAGAGAAAGAAAAGGAAAGAAGAAAAAGAAAGGAAAGTATGTCACCTAGCTGTGCACACAGGTTCCTGGATATTACTATACAGACCTATACACAATTATTTCAAAAGTGTGGTGTAATTTGTTTTCCTCAAAAATAGATAGAAAGAAAGAAAGATAGGTAGATAGATAGATAGATAGATAGATAGATGATAGATAGATAGATAGACAGATGTTTAGACAGACCAGAAGGAGGTAAGGAAAAAGAAAGAGAGGGAGGGAGGGAGGAGAGGGGAAGGAAGAAGGAAGGAGGAAGGAAGGAGGAAGGAAGGAAGGGGAAAGAGGAAGGAAGGAAGGAAGGAATGAAGGAAGGAAGGAAGGAATGAAAGAAGGAAGGAATGAAAGAAGGAAGAAAGGAATGAATGAATGAATGAATGAATGAAGGAAGGAAAGAGAAGGAAGGAAGGAAAGAAGGGAAGGAAGGAAGGAAGGAAGGAAGGAAGGAATGAAGGAAAGAAAGAAAGAGAAGGAAAAAAGAAAGAAAGAAAGAAAGAAAGAAAGAAAGAAAGAAAGAAAGAAAGAAAGGGAAGGAAGGAAGGAAGGGAGGGAGGGAGGAGAAGGAATGAAAGAAGGAAGGAAGGAATGAAAGAAGGAAGGAAGGAATGAAAGAAGGAATGAAAGAGAAAGAAGGAAGGGAAGGAAGGGAAAAGAAGAGAAGAAGGAGGAAGGAAGAAAGAAAGAGAAGAAAGAGAAGGAAGGAAGGAAGGAAGGGAAGAAGGAAGAAGAGGAAAGGAAGGAAAGAAAAAAGAAAGGAAAGGAAGGAAGGAAAGAAAGAGAAGGAAGGAAGGAAAGAAGGAAGGAAAGAAAGAGAAAGAAGGAAGGAAAGGAAGGAAAGAAAGAGAAGGAAGGAAGGAAAGAAGGAAGGAAAGAAAGAGAAAGAAGGAAGGAAAGGAAGGAAGGAAAGAGAAGGAAGGAATGTAAGAAGGAAAGAAGGAAGGAAAGAAAGGAAGAGAAGGAAAGGAAAGGAAGGAAGGAAGGAGGAAGGAAAGAGAAGGAAGGAAAAGAAGGAATGAAGGAAAGAAAGAAAGAGAAGGAAAGAAAGAGAAGGAAGGAAGGAAGGAGGGAGGGAGGGCGGGCAGGCGAGCAAGCGGGCAGGCAGGCAGGCAAGCAAGCAAGCAAGCAAGAAAGAAAGAAGCAAGCCAGGTCACTCAGCTGTGCAAACAGCTGCCTGGATCACATGCCATAATATTAAAATCAAATAAATGAAGAGGAGAAGAAGGGGGAGAAACACACTTACATCCTGCATCAGCCTTGGAAACAATCATGCCTTTCCTTATTGAATGCAAGCCTGTTTGTTTTCATTGTATTCCAGAGGGAAAGGAGCACCCATCTCCCATTGCCAGGAAATCACCGCGTGCCAACGGGTACAGCCTGGCAAAGAGCATGGTGAATCTTTACACGACCACGGAGAGTAAGTGGGAAGCCTGCCTTTTTCGCCTTGTCTGAATCTTTCACACATTGCTTCCCCAAATAAGAAGTCTTCTCGTAGTCTGAAAAGTAGTCTGAACACTAAAATTACAATGTCAATGTTTTGGCCAAAGGGTATAGAAAGGGGACCCTGCAGATGTATTGGTTGGTGAGTGCTTTTATATCTCATCTTTCCCAAATGAGTTCCAGGTTGCATTCCTGGCTCTCTTCCTTCCTACTGAGAGGTAGATCAGACATAAGAGAGAATAGCTGACCTACCCATCACCTAGCATGTTTCATGATTCAGACAACCAAGGGTTCATCTACACCAGGCATGGGCAAACTTCGGCCCTCCAGGTGTTTTGGACTTTAACCTACAACTCCAAAAACTATGAGTTGAAACTGTGAACTCCATCAATGAATCAAGCTTGGCACACAGAATCACCATGAACAACTGAAGAAAACTGGAAGTGTTTGGGGGGAGCTGACCTTCATTTCTGGAAGTTGTAGGTCACCTACATCCAGAGATACTGTGACCACCACCGATGATGGATCTGGACCAAACTTGGCACACAGAACCTCCATGAACAACTGAAAAAACTGGAAGTGTTTGGGGGGAGCTGACCTTCATTTCTGGAAGTTGTAGGTCACCTGCATCCAGAGATACTGTGACCACCACCGATGATGGATCTGGACCAAACTTGGCACACAGAACCTCCATGAACAACTGAAAAAACTGGAAGTGTTTGGGGGGAGCTGACCTTCATTTCTGGAAGTTGTAGGTCACCTACATCCAGAGATACTGTGACCACCACCGATGATGGATCTGGACCAAACTTGGCACACAGAACCTCCATGAACAACTGAAAAAACTGGAAGTGTTTGGGGGGAGCTGACCTTCATTTCTGGAAGTTGTAGGTCACCTGCATCCAGAGATACTGTGACCACCACCGATGATGGATCTGGACCAAACTTGGCACACAGAACCTCCATGAACAACTGAAAAAACTGGAAGTGTATGGGGGGAGCTGACCTTCATTTCTGGAAGTTGTAGGTCACCTACATCCAGAGATACTGTGACCACCACCGATGATGGATCTGGACCAAACTTGGCACACAGAACCTCCACGAACAACTGAAAAAACTGGAAGTGTTTGGGGGGAGCTGACCTTCATTTCTGGAAGTTGTAGGTCACCTACATCCAGAGATACGGTGACCACCACTGGTGACGGATCTGGACCAAACTTGGCACACAGAACCTCCATGAACAACTGAAGAAAACTGGAAGTGTTTGTGGGGAGCTGACCTTCATTTCTAGAAGTTGTAGGTCACTTACATCCAGAGATACTGTGACCACCACCTGACAGATCTGGACCAAACTTGGCACACAGAACCCCCGTGACCAACTGAATGCACTGGAGGGATTTGAGGGGACTGACCCACCATGGTGGGAGCTGTGGTTCATCCTGCAACCAGAGATCTAACAGACCCCTCTGATGATGCATCTAGAGAGCAAACTTGCCCCACATGACAAACTTTAAGCACTGATGGAGTTTCAGGGGGTTAACCTGGCATGATGTGAGTTGTAGTTCACCCACAACCTTATGCATTTTGTAAAATAAAAAAATGACTTTTTCAAATAACCCGGGCAACGCTGGGTACCCAAGCTAGTATAGAATAAAATCACATGAAAAAAAAGGGAATTGTCTTTCCCAGTAAGTCTGTTTTCAACCACGAGAGGGAGCTGAATCCATTCCCTTCTATACATGCATTAAACAGACACTGACTTTTGCTTTACTATCTATGGTTTTTACGCTTCTGTTGTGGTTAGACAGACATGCTCTTTACAATACACGTTCAGTCTATTGCATTAAATAAACAAACGTTTGAGTTCCTCACAGTCTGTTTCCTGCACATAAAATACAGTTTCCTGCCTAAAAAATACCATGTGTGAATTTTGCGCGAAGCAAACTCTGCCCTGCAAAATAGCACCACATTTATTGCTAACTTTCTCACAGTAGGAAAACTATTGGTGAAATTCAGGAGAAAACCAATATATGTTTAGTTCCCAGTCTTGAAGGCCATAAATACGATAAGATGGTTTTTTAAAAACAAATTTCAGCAGATGGGAATTTATTTTATATTCCAAGTACAAAAACCGTTTTGCAGTGTATTTTGTTTCTTCTTTCTAGCCTATTCTAAGCCGCAAATGCCCACCCATCAATACCTTGAGCCTGAGAGAGCCAAAGACCTGAGCAAATCCAGTCCTCTCCTGCTCTCAGAGGTAGGACTCGTATGAATATATGTAATGGGCTTCCCACTTGTGCAAGAGTTAGGGACACAGGGACCCCACGGAAATGGGAAAACGACGAATTTGAAAAACATTATTTTGGGTTGTTGTAGGTTTTTTCGGACTATATGGCCATGGTCTAGAAGCATTCTCTCCTGACATTTCGCCTACATCTATGGCAAGCATCTTCAGAGGTACTCTGAGGATGCTTGCCATAGATGCAGGCGAAACATCAGGAGAGAATGCTTCTAGAACATGGCCATATAGCCCGAAAAAACCTACAACAACCCAGTGATTCCAGCCATGAAAGCCTTCAACAATACATTAAACATTATTTTGTTTTTATTTGATATAACACCTCTTTAGAAATCTCCAAGTCCTACAAATCAATAGCTGGAATCTTGCTCATTGTTCTCAATTAGCGTAGACTCGGAGAGCATCCGCATGGTAGAATTTACACAGTTTGACATCACCTTAATTGCTCAAGGATATAGAATCGTGGAAGTGGGCATTTAGCAAGCCTTCTGTGCCACAGAGTGTTTTCAAAGCTATACCAAAGTTACTTACTTACTTATTACTTACTTAGGCAATCCCTCGTTGGCCGAGTAGGATAGACTTCCAGGATTAGTATTCTGGAGGGTCCGTAGGTGACTGTGAAGTCCTATTCTTGATCTGCATCTTCTCCCGCAGTGAGGGTGTCGGTTTCCGGGTGGAAGGCGATCCTGGTCAGGGTTGGCTTGGCACACCTTCCTCTTGGCACATTTCTCTCTTTTGCCCTCCATTTGTGCCTCTTCAAATTCTGCAGCACTGCTGGTCACAGCTGACCTCCAGCTGGAGTGCTCAAGGGCCAGGGCTTCCCAGTTCTCAGTGTTTTGTGTGTGTATATATGTGTGTGTATGTGTGTATATGTGTGTTTGTGTATATATGTGTGTGTATGTGTATGTATGTATATGTATATATATTATAATGCATGCACAAAACCACACACACACACACATATGATTTTGTGCATGCATTGTAATGTATTTTTTTTTTGGCTTTTTAAGTCTCTTCTGCTGTGTTTTTCACTGTTTTTATGAGTTATGGTCACTTGTTGGCCTAATAGGTGTCTTGTGTCCAAATTTGATGTCAATTTGTCCAGTGGTTTTTGGGTTATATTAATCCCACAAACCAACATTACATTTTTATTTATATAGATTAATTAAAAATGCCATCCATCTGGTTTTATTGGAGACTTTGTGAACATAATATATTGTTTTTACTGCACTGATAGCATGCCTGTCTTCCGAGAAAGCTAAGGCAATATTTTCTCTCATTTCCCCAATAATATTATGAGGACGCAGTGACTGGTCCACCATTGGGGGTAGAATGGGGATTTCAGCCTTGGTCTCCCTTCTCTCCAGTCTAGCACTTTAACCCAGTGATTCCCAAACTCTAGTCCTCCAAGTGTTTTGGACTTCAACTTCTCAACACTTCAGCTGCTTTGGCCAATGAACAAGGATTCTGGGAGATGAAGTCCAAAACATTTGGAAGAGCAGAGTTTGAGAAGCACTGCTCTAGTCAGTATGCTAAGAGTGGACCTTCTGGAGCCATGGTTTAACACCCTTGTGTTTGATTTGCAGACGGAATCGGACACCGCTTCCGAGATCAGCTTCCAATTCTACCGACACAAGAAGTCTCCAAGTGTGGGGAGCCACTCCTCAGATATGGCCTCCGTCTCCTCGGTACATTCCTTCCCCAACAGGTCTCAAAAGTCCCAGTTCATTGGCTTTGTTGGCTGGGGCTGATAATAGTTGGAGATGGATCGCCCTTTTTGCATCAAAGCTATCAGCTGCTACTGAACTTGTCCCAGTTCAATTTGTAACGAGTTGCTTATGCAGAGATGTAGTTCAGAGCCAAATGGTAATGCATGCTGAAAGATTCTGGGAATTGTAGTCCAATTTTCTTAAATGGTGACTTGATGAAACCAATTGGAGAAGACCCATGTGTTCTACAAAGTCACTGTCTACTCCTGCAAAACATCTCCTGAATCTAAAGCATCAGTTCCCCCACTGAGCAGTCATCCCTTACTGGAACATAATAATTCTGAACATAAAGCTCCTTTAATTCCATAAGAAGACCTTTCTCCCTGGAGGAAGGGGCAGAATAATCAAGATTCACTTTGAGCGTGTAGTATTTTGTCCCATTTCCAAGCCCTTCCCTGGTCTGTTGACATGAAGACCCCTATTGAGACCCTCCTTTCTTCCCTCTGGACAGGTGAGTGGAAGCGTTCTGAGCGTCTACAGTGGTGATTTTGGCAGTGTTGATGCCCAGGGGGTGGTTCAGTTCGCCTTGGATTACGATGAGAAAAACCGAGAATTCCAGATTTTCGTCTCCCAGTGCAAGGACCTGGCCATTGTGGATGAGAAGAAAGTTAGGACGGACCCGTAAGTGAAGGCTGAACTGTTGTGGCCATATCACAAGAAACACTGTTGAGAAGGCATGAAGAACCATCCTCTAGAATTCTGCTTAATTTGGATGGTCTAGTGTTCTGGTTCTAGATTATAGTGGTTCTAGAACAGTGGTTCTCGACCTGTGGGTCCCCAATGTTTTGGCCTACAACTCCCAGAAATCCCAGCCAGTTTATCAACTGTTAGGATGTCTGGGAGTTGAAGGCCAAAACATCTGGGGACCCACAGGTTGAGAACCACTGTTCTAGAACCTTTGGTGTTCCAAATGTCTTGGACTTCAACTCCAGAGGCTCTGATCAATGTGATAGTTCAAAGTAGTTCTGGAAGCCATGTTTCTCAACCTGTGGGTCCCCAGATGTTTTGGCCTTCAACTCCCAGAAATCCTAACAGCTGGTAAACTGACTGGGATTTCTGGGAGTTGTAGGCCAAAACATCTGGAGACCCACAGATTGAAAACCACTAGTCTAGAGAACCAGAAGTTGAGAACCACTAGTAATGGTCTCTGGAGTATTTTTGTGTATTTCTGAGAAAAACAGTGCCCAGAACTGGACAGTTGCAGAATAAAGCAGAACTGTTACAGCAGGCCCTCCACTTTCGTAGGGGCACAGGAATGCCCCAAAAATGGAAAACTGCAATTTTTTTAAAATGCTACTTTTAGAGCTAAATACTAAATTGTTAGCTTTGTCTTGTCTTGATCATGAAAGAAAAGTAGGCTATAAATAAGTAATACAGTGGCACTTGAGGCTGATCGTGGAAGTGTGTTGGAGGACCTAGAATTGCACTGAGAAATGTCTTCTGTCCTTCAGTGCAACTCTATGGCTCACGTCTACTGGCTTGACTTGAATGCTGACTCAGTCTCTTCTCCAGGTACGTCAAGACCTACCTCCTTCCAGACAAAGCGCGAATGGGGAAAAGGAAGACCTCTGTGAAAAAGAGGACCGTCTCCCCCATTTACAATGAAGTGTTGCGGGTAAGGGATACAGGCAAAGCAGGGCCTGAATCCATTTTTATGCAGCAGAGCAAAAAATCCCCGCCGGAGTAGATATGATGGATTGCGCTCCTGCCAAGAAAACCCCATGAGAGGGTTGCCTTAGAATTGGCAGAAGTCTGATGTTAACAATAACAACAGCCTCCAAATAACAAGGCTATTGTTTCCTCTCTCTGCAGTATAAAATAGAGAAAATGGTTTTGCTGATTCAGAAACTGAACCTTTCTGTCTGGCACAACGACCCTCTTGGGCGGAACAGTTTTCTGGGTGAGATTGAGGTGGACTTGGCTGGCTGGGATTGGCAGAACAACAGACTGAACTGGTACATGCTCAAACCCCGGGTAAGCCCCTTTCTGTGGATATCCTCTGTCAAAGGTAGAATGATTTATAGCAGTGTTTCTCAACATGGGGGTCGGGACGCTTGGGGGGGTTGTGAGGGGGTGTCAGAGGGGTCACCAAAAACCATCAGGAAACACAATATTTTCTGTTGGTCATGAGGCTTCGTGTGGGAAGTTTGGCCCAATTCTATCATTGGTGGGCTTCAGAATGCTCTTTGATTGTAGGTGAACTATAAATCTCAGCAACTACAACTCCCAAATGTCAAGGTTTATTTTTCCCAAACTCCACCAGTGTTCACATTTGAGCATATTGAGTATTCGTGCCAAGTTTGGTCCATATTCATCATTGTTTGAGTCCACCGTTCTCCCTGGATGTAGGTGAACTACAACTGCTAAACTCAAGGTCAATGTCCACCAAACCCTTCCAGTATTTTCTGTTGGTAATGGGAATTATGTGTGCCAAGTTTGGTTCAATTCCACTGTTGCTGGAGTTGAGAATGCTCTTTGATTATAGGTGAACTATAAATCCCAGCAACTACTACTCCCAAGTGAGAAAATCAACCCCCCCCCCCCCCCCACCCAACTCCACCAGTATTCAAATTTGGGCATATCGGGTATTTGTGCCAAATTTGGTTCAGTGAATGAAACTTGATCTTCCATATCAGATATTTAACTTACAATTCATAACAGTAGCAAAATTACAGTTATGAAGTAGCAACGAAAATAATGTTATGTTTGGGGGTCACTCACCACAACATGAGGAACTGTATTAAAGGGTTGCGGCATTAGGAAGGTTGAAAACCACTGATTTATAGAAACCCATTTTGGCCTAAATCTGATCACCAGTCTCTATTGGGTAGATCCATTGGGTTTTTGAATCTATATAAATAAAAATGTAGTGTTCGTTTGTGGGATTAAAGGAACTCAAACTGGACGAATTGACACCAAATTTGGACACAAGAAATCTAACAACCCAATGTATGTCCTTCACTCAAAAAAATTGATTTTGTCGTTTGTGAGTTGTAGTTGCTGGGATTTATAGTTCATCTACAATCAAAGAACATTCTGAACCCCAGCAACGATGGAATTGAACCAAACTTGGCACACAGTTCTCCCATGACAAACAGAAAATACTGGAAGGGTTTGGTGGGCAATGTCCTTTGGTTTTGGATTTGTAGTTCACCTACATACAGAGATCACTGTGGACTCAAACAATGATGGATCTGGACCAAACTCTACCAGAATACTCCATATGCCCAAATCTGAACACTGGTGGAGTTTGGGGAAAACAGAATCTTGACATTTGGGAGTTGTAGTTGCCGGGATTTATAGTTCACCTACAATCACAGAGCATTCTGAACCCCACCAACGATAGAATTGGGCCAAACCTCCCACACAGAACCCCCATGTGGGCCACAGCAACATGTGGCAGGGGACAGCTAGTATTATATATATCTGTTGAACTCCCAGCCTGGAAGCACTTATGACCACCGCACCACACAAGAATCCAGGAATACAATCAAACAGTTTATTGTAAAATAAATTAAAAGCATATGAAAAAGCAGGAATAAGAAAAGCAGATATATAATCCAAAAAGGTTCACCAATAGGTGATAACCATATAATCCAACTGTCTCATAAAGTTCCAAAGGTGACCAAATCCAGGAACAGCCAAAAATTACAGTTACAGCATAAGTCCTCAAACAAGAAGGTATAACTAGTAGAAAATTGAAGTGGAATACATGAACAGCAACATAGAAAACTTCCAGGATATTAAAATCCAAAACCAAGTCTTGACAAGAAAACTCAGGCTTAGCTTCTCACTCTAACACAGCGTTGCCTGAACTGCCCTTAAAGTCAACACTTTGTTGTTTAATAGCCACCAAAAGCATTACGTCTCCCATGAATTTTCTCCCCAACCTTCCCACGTAATCTCTCAGTCCGGCTCTATTTTGTAAACTGAGATTTTTGTTTATTGCTGTAGCTACAGGTGGTTTCTCCTGGGAATCCTCCTTATCACTCAGCTCTTCACTCAATTCCTTATCTTCTATTGCTTCTTCTGACTCCTTGGCCTGGCCTTGAGGCCCTGCACTTTCCAAGCCAATTTTCTCACAGAGAGAAACATCATTTCCCAAACTTGAATTTCCCAGACTTGAGAGCCCATCACTTTGTGCCACAGGAAAGCCTACAATTCTCTCTAAATCCTCAGTTAAACCTACAACAAGATCTTGGTTTAGTAGGTGTATTTTCACCTGTCTCTCTGCAAATGATGGAGCACTGAGGTTTCCCACTAATAATCCTCAAGTTTGGGTTGGTCCATAGAGAAACAGGTAATCCTTTAACTAGCATGATCCAGTTGTCTAGATTCTGGGAGCTGTTGTCTGAAAATGGTAACTCCTTCCAAAATACTGCATTTGCTAGTTTTCAGATGCTTCCCATTTTCCAGGACACCCAGAAATGGACATCTCCATGTATTTAAGATATACTCAGTCCTCCACGTGCAATGGAGTTAGGGGAACAGGATGCCTATGGAAGTGGAAAACCATAAATAAACTATATGCATTTGAAGGTCCTCCAGCACTATTTCCAACTTCTGCCAAATATTGGCCATAGAAGCTGGAGGAACTGCAAATGAATATAGAGATGTTCTCTTTAAGACTCAAAGCAGCTTACAGTCAAACCGATACAGTACAATTTATGACCTGAAAAACATGCAAACATTAATTAGAATTAAATATCAAATATTAATTGAATATTATCCTAGAGCAAATCAATCAATCAAGTGCATGAATAAACTACAAATGTGGGGTGACTGTGCATCGTCTCTCTTGCCTTCCTTTGATTTGTGATTGCAACATGAGGATGCTGCTTTCCTTTTACGGTCACACACAAAAGCATGTTATACTTTGCATCTCATTTTTAAAAATCCAAATATTGATTCTAAGGAAATTCATGGGTTTCAAACAGTAGTTTCCTCTGGTTCCTGCTGTGCTAAATCTGGTCACCTGCTGATTTGAAGTCTCTGGGATTTTGTTTGGTGCCATTCATGCCAATGGCAGTCTTTTCTCTTTTCCAGAGTTTGTCGGCCTTCAACTGCGTGGATCACCGGGGAGTGATGAACCTGTCAATTAAATACATCCCACCAGGAAGCCTAGGTAAACATACACAGTTTTAAGAAAACTTGCCCAGGTTACAGACCGCCTTACAGTAACTTAGCTCACTGTTACGTATTATTGATTCTTCAGACTACAATTTGTAAACTAGATATATTTTATTTTGTGTTTCTTTTCCTTTCTTATATACTGGAGAATCTCTGATTGGATTCCCATCATCCTTGTCTGTTGATGGGGCTGATGGGAACAGCAACAGAAGGGGACACAGTTTGTCCATCCCTAAGCCGCAATGCAACTGGGGAAGACCCCCAAATAGTTGCAGGGCAACCTCAGCCTTCATGGGTGCATCTACACTAGAATTAATGCAGTGTGAAATTACTTCAATTGCCATGGTTCAATGCAGCAGAATCATAGGACCTGTAGTTTCCCAAGGTCCAGGCTGTGGCACAGCTGGTTGGGAGTCAGCTGCATTAAAATCACTACTGACCAAAAGGTCATGAGTTCGAAGCCAGCCGAGTCAGAGTAAGCTCCTGACCTTTTGTCTAACTTTCTGTCGACCTTTGCAGCCCAAAAGACGGTTGCATCTGTCAAGTAGGAAATTTAGGTACCACTTATGCGGAGAGGCTAATTTAACTAATTTACCACACCATAAAAATCTCCAGCAGCATACAAAAAAATGAGGAAGTACTCCATTGGTGTCACAAGTGGACAGTGAAGTGACAGCTCCTCCAGTGGCCGGAATTTGAGCATACCCTCTTGACGCTGCTCAATAGCCTCTGTGTGTCTGTCTATCTCCATCTACGTCCCACCTCAGAGTTTAAGATCTTCCGGGGAGGCCCTGCTCTCGATCCTGCCTTTGTCGCAAATGCACTTGATGGGGATGAGGGACAGGGCCTTCTTGGTGGTGGACCCCCACCTGTGGAATTCGCTCCTCAGCGAAATTAGGTTATCTACGTCCCTACTTTCCTTCAGAAAGAAGTTAAAAACGTGGATGTGGGACCAGGCCTTCGGATAATCATGCTGACTGTGATGACAATCGCTATGGAAATGGCCTATGGACAAGCTTGATGAAGTCTCTAACCACAGAAATCGGCTTAGATAAGGCCACCAGGCTGTTATATTTAAACATATTTTAATTGAATTGATTTAATGTTTTTAACTGTATGTAATTATTGGATTTTATTATGTACACATGGAGGTATCAAATCATTGCTGGCTGGAAGCCTCCCTGCGTCCCCCCCCCCCCCCCCAGGGTTGAGAAGGGTGGGGTACAAATATCTGAAATAAATAAATCATAAATAAATATGGCATTGAATGTTTGCCATGTATACGTCCATTGTAATCCTCCTTGAGTCCGCTGTGGGGTGAGAAGGGTGGGATATAAATACTGTAAATAATAATAATAATAATAATAATAATAATAATAATAATAAGGTCTTGAGCCTTCTCTACCAAAAAGTGGGGTTGACTCACCAACTACAACTCCCAGGATTCTATAACATGGAACTGAAATGGTGTCAGATTGCATTAATTCTACAGTGTAGCTGTACCCATGGACTCTCTGCCTCTGACCTTCAAGCAGCAGTTCTTAAACTGTTCTTCTGTACACACACCCATTTAGACTGTATACTCTTACACCCTCTTGTATGTTTTATTGACCCTATGGATGAATGAATGAATTGTTCTTGCCTGTGTCATGAATTCTGTTGTCATTAATGTTAGGTCGCAAAACCCCTCCGTCTGGGGAGGTCCACATCTGGGTGAAAGACACCAAAGACCTTCCGCAGCTGCGTCCTTCGGGAGTGGACTCCTTTGTGAAATGGTAGGTGCGATACCTTCCGAAAAGAGGCTTATAATAACTGGCATCATGGATTATTTCCCCGGTAAGATGGAATAGCTATAATACTGGTGAACTGCTGTTAAGATTTTGTAAACTTCAGTTTCCAGACTCCCTTATCACTGGGCATTCTGGGAGTCAAAACCCAATATATAGAGAGGTCTATCAGTTCAGAATTGCTATTTTAGAAGAGCCACTGGCAAATTGTGGTCCTCCAGTTGTGGGATGAAACTCTGATAGGCCCCAGTCAAACATTAGGGCTGGGCTTTAGCATAGCAGGTTGATCGCCAACTACAGTAAATCTTGCCAATCGAAAAGTTGACAGTTCAAAGCCTGATTCAGTGTGAGCTTCTGGCCTTTAGCCCAGCTTCTGCCTAGCTAGCAGTTCAAAAACAAATGTGAGTAGATAAATAGATACTGCTTTAAAGCAAGGAGTTATTTAAGGCATTGCCAGAAAAATGCCAACAATTTGATCAAGGAGTAGATTTATGAACAAAACTATTTGGCAGGGACAGCACCCCCAGTGGTCACAACCGAGCATGGCCTCCAAGAAGCCGAAGATGGGAAAGCCCACATATACCTCTATCTATGTACAGTTGTCTGTATTGGTATTGAATGTTTGCTATATATGTGTTCTCTTATCCGCTCTGAATCCCCTTCGTGGTGAGAAGGGCGGAATATAAATACTGTACATAGTACATAAATAAATAAACAAACAAACAAAGCAAATGGCATGGGATGCTGGAAGTTGCAACCCAATACCATCTGATATATTTCCTTTGAAAAATATTGATATGGATGGACTATAAGCCCCATCTCTCATGGCTAGATACACTGTTGGAGGCTTTGAAACAGGCTGGATGATTATCTGTCGGGAGTGCTTTGATTGTACTTTTCCTGCCTGGCAGGAAGGGGTTGGACTGGATGGCCTTGGGGGTCTCTTCCAACTCTAGGATTCTATAAAGGCTTGTGTTCTCCTTTTCCAGCTATGTTCTTCCAGATACGAGTAAGAAGAGTTACCAGAAGACCCGAATTGTCAAGAGAGACTCCAATCCGGTCTTCAACCATACCATTGTGTACGACGGGTTCCATACGGAGGACCTGAAAGACGCCTGCGTGGAACTGACTGTCTGGGATCACGAAAAGCTCACCAACCACTTCCTTGGAGGGATCCGCCTGGGACTTGGGACAGGTAATGGGTTTGGTTGGTTTGTGTACTTTAATCTAAGTTTAGACATTGGAAGTACGTTGCTGAATTCACTGTGAAAACAAGAAGGAATGGATAACAGCAGACCCTATTTAAATGCTTGATGTTACTGTAGAGTTGCCTTGGAGAACCTAGAACATTTCTAGAGAGGTATCCTGTGGCCATTTTGGGGCATGTGCATGACTTTTTTTGGAAACATTGCATTCATGAGCCTTTTGAAAAGGAAAAAAAATATGTTATATATTTTTGGCAAATGTGAATCTCCATGAACGTCTGGAGACCACCTTTTGAAAACTGCCTGTTGCACTCCAGGACAGGAAAAGCCCTCTGACTGTAAACACCACACCGTTGATTGGAAAACAATCATTTTATTGAAGATAATTTAAAAAACAGCAAAGTAAAAAATCACTTTAAAGGAATAGGTAAATCCAATTAGGTAAGAAGATAAGCAGGAGCAAAAGTAGTCCAGGATAAAGTTCAGCAAAGTCCATAAAGGGAAAGTCCACACTTCTCTAATATAATTCAGAAAAACAGGAAACATTAATACAAAGGCATGAGTAGGAATTCATACACTCCAAGAATCCAAACCATGAAATAAGAAATACTTACACAAGAATCTTCCCAGCAAGGCTTCAATGAAACAAGGACACAAACTACAGTTGATTCTAAACGATGCTTCATCTGACTATATTTCCCATACTTGGAACTTTTATCCCCTTGTTAAGCTATCCTAAGCACTCCGAAATTGGTTTCGCTTTAATTGAGATTCCCTTATCTTTTTCTGTTGGATTCTGGCAGACCGCCGAAGCCACTTTTCGGTCTGCCTGTTTTGACTAATCTCCTGCCTCCTATCTATTTGCTTATTAAGTTTTGCAGCTGGGCCAGGTGCCCGGATGTTTTCAAGCCCCAAATCCTGGGGACTCTCTGGTAACAATTCAGGGAGTACACCATCATCCCCACACCCTTCAGGGACATTCTCATGGGAAACTACACTTTGCACAGGGATCCCTTGGTCCTTCTCTGCATCAGTATCATTGACCAAACCATTGCCATCTTGACATTCATTGGCATCACTTCCCACATCCAAAGCACCACGATCCTGAAACACAATCACAGGGTGAACTCCAACACCACTAGTCAAGGAAAGGAAAGACCTTGTTAGAAAAAGTGATGTTGACAAGCATTCATGTAATGGCACACAGGTAACTCAGCTGTTAAACTGATAAACCGTGTCTTTGAACTGCCAGGGACAAAGACATGCCACTGCACCAAAAACATATACTTGGCTAGCAGAGTTTTGAAATGTTTCTTTGAAGATGAAGTTGAAATTGCTGTTGTCCAAAACATATATTCCTCTTTGAAACCTCTTATTTTAAAATATGCACTCAGAGACAAAAAACAATTCTTCTTTAGAAAGTAACTCACAAACATCTTGTATTAATTCAGCATGCAGGCACATTTATAGATAAGATATAGTTTCTCAGTGTTGAGAACACAAGGAATCATTCTCAATCAATAGCCCATAGTCCAAAGTCTTTAAGTATACATCTTATGAAAGTTCAGACTGTATAACTGTAGTCACTGCTTCTCAAAGCAAACATATAGTAAACTGTTCCTGCATAAGTCTAAATGACATCTGCATCCACCTCCACTGAGGTCTAAAGCGAACTGCTAACATTAAAGTCCAAAAGCATATTGATAACAAAATGGAGTCTTGAGTCTGAACATGCTCAGTATAATCACATGTCTGTAGACCCTCCCACACCAAAGAGGTCAATTAAACTGGCAAATCAATATACAGTATGCATACAATACAGGTCAGCAAATATATATAAATGCACCGGGACTGTGGCATAGCTGGCTGGGAGTCAGCTGCATTAAGATCATTACTGACCGAAAGATCATGAGTTCCAGCCCGGGTCGGAGTGAGTTTCCAACCAATTTGTGTAGTTGACCTTTGCAGCCCGAAAGACAGTTGCATCTGTCAAGTAGGAAATTTAGATACCGTGTATGTTAGATACCATTAAAGACAGTTGCATCTGTCACGTAGGAAATTTAGATACTGCGTATGTGGAGAGGCTAATTTAACTAATTTACTACGCCATAAAAATCTCCAGCAAGCATGCAAAGAATGAGGAAGTACTTCATCAGTGTCACAAATGGACAGTGAAGCGACAGCTCCCCTGGTGGCCAGAATACCCTCATCAAAAGCTGGAATGTTGAATAGCCTCTGTGTGTCTGTCTATATATGTTGTGTGTCTATGGCATTGAATGTTTGCCATGTATATGTACGTTGTAATCCGGCCTGAGTCCCCTCCAGGGTGAGAAGGGTGGAATATAAATACTGTAAATAAATAAATAAACAAACAAACAAACAGTGAAGACATGGAAGGTTGCTGTTTCCAACAGACTTAAGAGGTGGGTTTGGGAGAAATATGATAATTGCAAAATCAGTAAAGATGCCATAGCATTGAGTACTGGCAGTTAAAGCAGTATCATACTGCACCCACTACAGTGCAGATGCACCCAATGTCTTGTCTAGTCTGGACATTTCTGACTATTCTTCCTTCCTTCCTGTCTCCAAGGCTCCAGTTACGGAATTGCAGTCGACTGGATGGACTCCACGCAGGAAGAAGTGGCCTTCTGGCAGGAAATGATGTCGACGGCCAACGAATGGATTGAGGGGTCACTGCCTCTGCGCTCCTTGGCAGGAAGGAAGAAGCTGAAATGAAATGAACGAGTGTCGCCCGACTAGGAAAAGGAACATAGATAGAAGACATTGGGAAATGCTGGTAGACATCCAACTCTTTGGGTGGTGTTTGTGACATACTTTGGAGAAACGCAAAAAGGACAGTCGTCTCTCAATACTCATGGATTCAACCATCCATGCCTTAAAAACATTTTTGAAGAATTCCAAAAAGCAAATGTCAAATTTGCCATATTATATATATTTTGCAAAGACGTGAGCATCCAGGGATTTTGGCACCACGGTACGCATTCTGGAGATATCTTGCCCTGATGCCATCTTAGCTCAAAGGTTGAAAGAACTGTTGTTTATTGTTGTACCATTAATGTGCCTTTAGTAGTTGATTTTTCCAAAAATGGACCCAGAAGGCAGAGAGGAAAAAATGTAAATATTTTAAAGATATGAAGTTTTGGTCTCTGCTTGTAGGGATGACAGTATCATAAAACTGAACTCTAAAACAAGAAGAGGATACTGGAGATTGGGAGCAAATGATGGAAATGAAAAACTAACTGGGTTATATAAGAAGTTGTATTATGGTGAACCAAAGAAGCAATCCATCTCCCCGGGATGTTGCTCTTCCAAGAAATAGCCAAAAGCCGATTGCAGCCTTACCATTATATCACCAATGGAAGTTACTGCTGGTTGCTGAGATGCTTGCAAAAAAATGTTGAATTAAATCCACTCTAGCAAAAGCCAGTCCTGCCATTGGGAATATGGGGCAGTTGCCTCAAATGGAAAGGATGCACAGCTCATCTTTCCTCTTGAAGACAAACTGTATTTATCCCAAGCTGTCCTCGAATGTGAAGAAGGATTTCTTTCGTTCATCCTAACTGAATAAGTTCTTAATCAGGGGAATCATACTCAGGATGATGTCACTTATATTATATACACAATTCTGTAGCTGTCGATGTAGCAAAAGTGGGAAGCACAGTAATACATAGGTTCTGGACTGTTTATTTTAGAGGTGAAATAATGGCATCAGGGTTAAAGAAGAGATTCTCCCTATTTACTCTGGGTAATGAATGAGGCAACAACGGAGCTTTCAAATTTCCCTCTGTTTCTGACTAATGTACAAGGGGTGCTCATTAAAGACTTCCCCTGACCCACTTCCTGTGGTCTGAGAACAATGAAACTTGGCGCAGTTATTAGTCCTTCTCTCCATAGGTGCCACCTAGGGACACACACTTCTCCCATCTTCTTAAGCAACTGTAAATACCTCACTTGTAGAAGTCGATAGGTTGCTCCAAGGGCCATGTTGTGACTTCAGAAAGTAGAGTCTCATCACCAGAAAAATGCTTGCCTTTCAAAAATAACTTCATTATTGGAAAGAGGTGGAAGTCTGATGGTGTGAGGTCAGATGAATAAGTGGGATGTGGTGGAATTTCAAAGCCACAGGAGCATGCTTCCTCCATTTGGGCAACATGTGAGTTGTGAACTAGTGTATTGTCTTGCAGAAGGTGGACACCTTTGGTGAGCATGCCACATTGTCTCTTGGTTTTGATGGCCTCCCGCAATTTCCACAGCAGTGAAGCATAGTATGCCCCAGTGATCATGGTCCCCTTTGCTAGGAAATCCATCACTACTACTCTGTGCTGGTCCCAAAATACTGTGAGCATGGCCTTGCCTTCCAAGAGTTGGCACGTGCCTTCTTTGGAGGGGGCGAGTCATGATGCTTCCATTGCATCGACTGGACTTTAGTCTCAGAATCATCGCGATGGATCCTGCTTTCATACTGTGTGATCAGTCTGTTGGAAAAGTCCTCCTGTTTTCCATGGCACATCAATAGCGCTTGAGAGCATCCAACTCGTTCCTGCTTCTGGAAAAATGTGAGCAGTCAGGGGGATCCAGCGAGTTGATTCCTTATGCATGTGAAGATGGTCTTGGATGATTTTTTCCATGGATCCCACACTAAGATGGGAGAAGTCTGTGTAGGTCACATTTATGTAGAGAAGGACTAATAACTGTGCCAAGTTTCATTGCATTTTGGGCTAGGTGGTGAATGTTTAGACAGCAATTTTCCAAAATGGCAACCTCCACTTGCTGGATGGTGTGTTCATCAGAGTGGGGTCGTCTAGGAATTGAAGCTGTTCCCACCAAAGTCTGACCACATTTGAATTGACAATGCGAGTTCTCGACTCCATCATATGATGGGGAATCCTCACCATAAGCCTCTTTCATCTCATCGAAGGTCTCCTTTGGTGTGCGGCCCTTCAAGTATAGGAATTTGAGGGCTGTTCTGTATTCCACTGGGCCCATTATCAAACCTCACACCACTTCAACACCTGTAAAATCAAGACCGTTATCAGTTCTGAATGGTAAATTGGCATGTAACATCTAGAAACTTATATCATTAAACATGTGCAGTTTCAGCATTCTGCAATAAATAAAAGTGGGTCAGGGGAAATCTTTAATGAACACCCCCTCATAGGTTGAGGAAGCCAACAAATAAGAAAACGGATGAAGCAGGTAACAATTACTTGACACAGTTGTTGGCACTTTTAATTAAAAGTGAAAGGTAGAATTTCAGCAGGCTGAAGGTCTTTTGTTTGAACCCACGATGTTGTTTAAATTGGACTCGTATAGTCAGTCTCAAGTGACTATCCATAAGGTTGCCATCATTGCTCCTCCAATATGGGAGCCACTGGTGATCATTACGTAAAGGTCGAATACAGATTCTATATATTATAGCTATTATGTCTTAAGGTCCATGTGTGAAAGTCATCTGTACATGACAAGAAGACATGAAAAGAAACGTCATTTGTGAGTCCATGTGTAAACTGCCTTACGAAGATTTGTATCTGTAAAGGCGGAATAGAAATGCACACTTCAATTGCCCTTCAATGCCTCCCTTTCTGCTGCCTCGCTCTTTCAGCAGATCTAAATTACAGCCATGTGCTGTACTTTCAATCCTCGATCCGCTTTTTTGGCCACTTACAGCTTTCTCATTCTTGATTCAGGGCCTTGCCGTTGTAATCTTGCCATTGTAATCTTAGAAAATACTGGATTTTCCAACCATTTTCAGTTTTTGAAAATGCCCTGGCTCCTAACCTGTCAAATTGGAGAGGCCTGTAATTATAACAATAATTATTAATTGTGCCGTAATATCAGTGCCTGGATTATTTTGTGCCATTAAAGCATCGATGATTCCATTCTAGGCTTATTTCTTATAGAAGTCTGCCCATTTAAAGGGATTCCCGGTTTTGACGGTGTGTCTATTGTAAGGAATTAATACATTACTGTAAGGAATATTGTGTTGTTGTTTATTCATTCAGTCGTTTCTGACACTTTGTGACCTCATGGACCTGTCCACTCCAGGAATGTTGTAGAACTTCTTTTTAATGGTTTCTATAGGGCAGGGTCGTTGCTCTGTGCCTTCAAGTCAATGCTGACTTCTAGCAATAACAAGGTGTATTATATTATAATTGTGTTTTTGGTGGCATTGAATTTTGCCTTGTAAACCGTCTCGAGTCGCCGGAAGGCTGAGAGGGGCGGTATACAAATATAGTAAATAAATAAATAAATATTCAAATAAGATTTACTATGGCCTTTTAGGCTGAGTGCGACATGCCCAAGATCACTCAGTGGGTTGTTAATTTCTAAAATCTCAAGCCAAACAGAAAAAAACAATTTCTTATTGCTGTAACCTCCCTGGAGTCTGTGCAAAAATGTCTTGAAATTGAACTTATTACATAAAGCCAAAGATTTTGTTTGTGCTTCTTGGTGGTTGTATGTCTCATTGGCATCAAGTGTTTGCAAGTTTTCCCCCAAATCTAAACTTTGATTCAGAGGCAAATGGCATAGGAAGGGGAGCAATAGAAGTTGAAGTGAACAGGAGAGCAATTATTTATTATTTATTTATTTACAGTATTTATACGCCGCCCTTCTCACCCTGAAGGGAACTCAGAGCGGATCACAGAACACATATACAGCAAATATTCAGTGCCATTGTACACTGAACAAGACAGACAACCATACATAGGTAGAGGTATATATGCTTTCCCATCTTTGGTTCTGACCATGGGGGAGGAGGGGTGCTGTTGCTCCGCTTTTCTTGCCGAAGAGCTTTGTTCATAAACCTCCTTGATTGAATAGTCGGCTTTTTTCTGGCATTTTCTTATGGGTGCCTTAAATACCTCCCTGCTTAAGCGGTACCTATTTATCTACTCACATTGCTGTTTTCGAAACTGCTAGGTAGGTAGAAACTCGGCTAAAGGCCAGGAGCTCCCCCTGACCCGGGCTTTGGACTGTCAACCTTTTGATTGGCAAGATTTATTGCAGCTGGTGGTTAACCTGCTGTGCTAAATATTGTATCCCAGAGCAGGAACACCTCTGTACTTAATCACCACACCAGCTCAGTAAAATCAGCAAGCAGTTTATTAAAGGATATATGTGAGCAAAGCAGTAAAAATGGTAAAAACGGTATAGTCCAAAAACATATAGATAATAGACAGTCCATGAACTTCAAGGTACAAAGGTAAAAAAACAAGATCCAAGGAATCAAAATCTATAAAAACAAGACAGCATGGCAAAACGTGAATCATGAAATTAGAAATCCACTTGGAAACAAGATGTTCATGAAACTCCAGTGCTGCCCAGACTGATCTAAAATCCTTTCCCTGTCTCATATAAAGCTTTTCCTATCTCATGAAGCGAAAGAAAAACATTCCGTTTACCTTTACAACCAAATAAGGACCTCTTTTCTCTCTTTTCAAATGAACGGGCTAACCTTAGACGAGCTTAGGAACTCTCTCTTAGTTTACGAAAGTCTTGCCTTCTATTTTCTATCTCATTAACTTCTGCACCTGACAATTTATTTATTTATTTATTTATTTATTTACTGCATTTGTTGACCGCCGTTCTCAGCCCTAGGGCGACTCACGGCGGTGTACAACATATAAAAACAGTTTACAATGAAGCAATAACACAACAGCATATCAACATAACAATCAGCAATACAACAATAATATAATTACACTAAATCATCCGCGCCGTCTCATCGTAGAATCATAAACCAATCTCGTAATCCATATTCCATCAACAATACAACAATAATATAATATAATTACACTAAATCATCCGCGCCGTCTCATCGTAGAATCATAAACCAATCTCGTAATCCATATTCCGTTCCAGTTGTCATTGCCAATTGTTATAGCACTTAGTTAAACGCCTTCTCAAATAACCATGTCTTTAGGCTCTTGCGGAATGACATAAGGGAGGGTGCCTGTCTGATGTCTACAGGGAGGGTGTTCCACAGCCGGGGGGCCACCACCGAGAAGGCCCTATCTCTCGTCCCCGCCAGACGTGCCTGTGAGGCAGGCGGGATCGAGAGAAGGGCCTCCCCGGACGATCTCAAGGCCCTCGTGGGCTCATAGGCCGAGATGCGGTCAGCAAGGTATTTTGGGCTGGAACCGTTTAGGGCTTTGTAGGCCAACACCAGCACCTTAAATTGGGCCCGGTAGCAGATCGGCAGCCAGTGGAGCTGGAACAACAAGGGCGTTGTGTGCTCCCTGCGTCCCGCTCCTGTTAGTAACATGGCTGCCGCGCGCTGGACTAGCTGAAGCTTCCGGGCCGTCTTCAAGGGCAGCCCCACGTAGAGAGCGTTGCAGTAGTCAAGGCGGGATGTGACCAGAGCGTGTACCACCGTGGCCAAGTCAGACTTCCCGAGGTACGGGCGCAGCTGGCGCACGAGCCGAAGCTGTGCAAATGCTCCCCTGGTCACCGCTGAAACCTGGGGATCCAGGCTCAACGATGAATCCAGGGTCACACCCAAGCTGCGAACCTGCGCCTTCAAGGGGAGTGCGACCCCATCCAGCACAGGCTGTAACCCTATACCCTGTTCGGCCTTGCGACTGACCAGGAGTACCTCTGTCTTGTCTGGATTTAATTTCAGTTTGTTCGCCCTCATCCAGATCATTACAGCGGCCAGGCACCGGTTCAGGACCTCGACAGCCTCCTTAGTAGCAGGTGGAAAGGAGTGACAGAGTTGGACATCATCTGCGTACAGATGACACCGCACCCCGAAACTCCGGATGATCTCACCCAGCGGCTTCATGTAGATGTTAAACAGCATGGGGGACAGTAGAGCCCTGTGGAACCCCACAAGTCAAAGGCTGTGGTGTTGAACAGGTGTCCCCCAATAACACCTTCTGGGTGCGGCCCTCCAGAAATGACTGGAGCCACTGCAGAACAGTGCCCCCGAAGGCCCATTTCCGCAAGGCGCCCCAGAAGGATACCGTGGTCGACGGTATCGAAGGCCGCTGAGAGGGCCAGGAGCACCAACAGGGACACACTCCCCCTGTCTAGCTCCCGGCGCAGATCATCCACTAAGGCGACCAAGACCGTCTCAGTTCCATGTCCCGGTCTGAAACCAGACTGTGCCGAATCCAGATAATCCGTGTCTCTCAAGAATACCTGGAGTTGTGAGGCCACCACGCTTTCCATGACTTTGCCCAAAAAGGGGAGATTGGAAACAGGCCGAAAGTTGTCAAATTTGGTGGGGTCCAATGATGGTTTCTTCAACAGCGGTTTTATAATAGCTTGTTTTAAGCTCGCTGGAATCTTGCCTTCCCGAAAGGAGGCATTAACCACCACCGTTACCCACTCAGCCAATCCCCCTCTGGCCTCCTTCAGAAGCCAGGATGGGCAGGGGTCTAGGATGGACGTGGTGGGCCTCATTCCTCCAAGTATCTTGTCCACATCCTCGGGCTTCACAAATTGAAAAGAATCCATCAAAATAGGACAAGCAGGTGTTCGTGTCACATCCTCAGAGACTGCATTTAACATGGTGTCCAGACCAGAACGGATCAAAGCGACTTTGTCTGCAAAGAACCGAGCAAATGCTTCGCAGCGCGTGGCCGAATTGTCAGGGCTCCCGCCTGAGGTGGCGGGAGTTAAAAGACCTCTGACAATCCGGAACAACTCCGCCGGACGGTTCCTTGCAGACGCAATAGTGGCCGCAAAGAAAGTTTTCTTTGCGGCTTTTATTGCCGCGGCATATGCCCTTAGAAAGGACACAAACCGTGTTCGATTTGACTCACTCGGATCCGAACGCCACACGCTCTCTAGTTCCCTCTTCCTTCGCTTCATCACTGCCAGCTCCTCAGTAAACCAAGGAGCTGGTTTAGCTCGGCTACTTGAGAGGGGACGTTCCGGAGCGATCATGTCAATTGCCCTGGCCATCTCCCCATTCCAGAGAGCGACCAAGGCCTCGACGTGGTCACCTACCGAGGTGGCGGGAAAATCCCCAAGAGCCGTCAGGAATCCATTCGGATCCATAAGCCTCCTGGGGCGGACCATCTTAATGGGTCCTCCACCTTGCAGAGGTTAGGGGGCGCAGTGAGCCTAAATCTGATCAGGAAGTGGTCGGTCCATGGCAACGGAGAGATGGACAACTCCTCCACACCGCCACCCTGCTCCCATCCCTGGCAGAAAACCAAGTCCAATGTATGTCCAGCACAGTGGGTGGGCCAGATATTTGTTGGGACAGCCCCATGGTTGCCATGGCAGACATGAAGTCCTGAGCCGCTCCTGTGAGGGTCGCCTCGGCATGGATGTTGAAGTCTCCCAGCACAAGAAGCCGTTGAGACTCCAACGCCAGGCTCAAGACTACCCCCGCTAGCTCAGGTAGGGAGACTGTAGTGCAGCGAGGTGGACGGTACACTAACAGAATCCCTATTCTGTCCCGGTCACCCACCCTCAGGTGGACACATTCAAAATTTGTGGTCTGCGGGATGGGACTCCTGGTCAGATGGATGGAATCTCTATAGACCACTGCGACACCGCCTCCCCGTCCTCCGGATCTCGGTTGGTGCTGTACGGAGAAACCTGGAGGACAAAGCTGGGTGAGATTCACGCCCCCAGCTTCATCCAACCAGGTCTCCGTGATGCACGCCAGATCTGCCCGCTCATCCAGGATTAGATCCTGGATAAAGGTCGTTTTTCCGTTGACAGATCTGGCGTTCAACAGCAACACCTCCTCAGAAGACAGTTCCTCAGAGAAAGTCTGTTGAGGGCCCCTTTCATGAATATGATCTTCAGAATCTACAGGAGAAGCACTCTGTTCATTTTCAAGACTTGAAACCTCAGGCCTTTCAGCAAGGCCAGGACTTGAAAGCTCAGGCTCAGGAAAACCATCATTCCCATTGACATCAGGCACAATCACAACTAAACTATAACCCAACCTTTAATAACCAATATAGTGTTATTATAAGTACATGTATTTAACTTTAGTTACATACTTAGCAAAATAGAATAGGGATGCAAAATGGTTTCTGTCAAAGATTCCTCTGTGCCGTGCATCCTATAGCATCATTTCCAGGCTCCATGCTGCATAAAGGGTTGCATTCCTGCAGTCCCAGTTCTTATCTTTAATTTTTCACCAAATATAAGATATTATTATTATTATTATTATTATTATTATTATTATTCCCAGACACAGTGTCTAACAAGAAAAGCAACACAATATATTATTTAAAAACTAAAACACCATACAAGCATTAAAATAGAATTAAGCATAGAAATATTAAATATACATTGTATTTCTTAAGTATCTTTGGAGATAAGAGCTATAATCTCTGATCTTTCATCAGATATAAGAGTTCTTACCTTTGTTCTTTCATTGGACAAATATGAGCACATTATCTCTCATTGGAGACAAAAGCTCATTATCTCAGATCTCTCACTGGAGATAAGAGCACATGATCTTGGATTTCTTATTGGAGATAAGAGCACATTATCTCAGATCTCTCATTTGGAGAAAAGGACCCATTATCTTGGCTCTCTCATTGGAGATAAGAGCATATTATCTTGGATCTCTCTTGGAGATAGGAACACATTATCTTGGATCTCTCACTGAAGATAAGAATCTGTTATCTTGGATCTTTAATGGGAGATAAGAGCACACAATCTTGGATCTCTCATTGGAGATAAGAGTACATTATCTTGGCTCTCTCATTAGAGATAAGAGCACATTATCTTGGATCTCTCATTGGAGACAAGAGTACATTATCTTGAATCTCTCATTAGAGATAAGAGCACATTATCTTGGATCTCCAATTGGTGATAAGAGTATATTATCTTGGATCTCTCATTGGAGATAGGAGCACATGTTGGATATCTCATTGGAGATAAGAGCACATTATCTTGGATCTCTCATTGGAGGCAAGAGTACATGATCTTGGATCTCTCATTAGATATAAGAGCACATTATCTTGGATCTTCCATTGGAGACAAGAGTACATGATCTTTGATCTCTAATTGGCCATAAGAGTATATTATCTCAGATCTCTAACTGGAGATAAGAGCACTATCTTAGATCTTTCATTAGAGATAAAAGTACAGTATCTTGGATCTCTCGTTACAAATAAGAGTACATTATCTTAGATCTCTCATTGGAGATAAGAGTACATTAATTTGGATCTCTCATTGGAGATATGAGCACTATGGATTTCATTGAAGATAAGAACTCATTATCTCAGATCTCTCATCAGAGAGAAGAGCTTGGAAGATCCCAATTTGTGATCCCCTGTCAGAGATAAGAGCTGGGATCCAGTGGATATTAGAGCAAGTAAAGTGGAAGAAGGGATTTTATGTTCTTGGTGGGAGCAACTCAGAGTGTGCATTTGAATTTGCACAACTCTTCAGTTCCAGACAGGTTTCTTCCTCCCAGTGTGCCACCTTATGCCCACATTGCAGCCTGTGGAGTGGCCCCATTGAGGCCATGCTTCCTGCAGACCCTTCTTGCTGAAATCTAGCAGATCAAATGAAAACCAAAGAGCCAGTTTCAAATCCCAGGCTTCTAAACCTGTGGAACAGTAAGAGATCCTTGGTCTGCTTTGCCCCAACTTCCCAAACTTTTCCTCCATTCAGGAAGAGGTGAGTGATAAGCCTCAAGAGTGCCTTAGATAGCAAAAGCCATAATGGGATAATGTGATGAGGTCTAACCATCGCTTCTTAATCCTTGGATCTCTAATTCCTGTCTGAAGTCCTCAGTCCTATAATCGTGGGTGAAAACTGTTACCCAGCCCTCCATTCTTCTGGTTTGTCCAATCCAACAAAGACCCGTTGGGGCAACTGGGGAAAGGTGAGTCAATGCGTAAACAAATCCTGTTTACTCAATGAATCTTCTCCAGTTGGAATTAACAATAGGATTTAGGCCAATGGTGATTAGGTTTGGGATTAGAAGGACACGTTGCTCCCTTGGAAAGTTTCACTCTGCTACTATACACCCTACATAATAATAATAATAATAATAATAATAATAATAATAATAATAATGAAAATATATATACATTTGGAGTAGGTTTGCCCACACAACTGCTACTCCCTCCTGCCTCCCTGTTCTCAACTTGATAGTCTTTCTTTATTTCCTGCACTTCCTCTCTTCCCTCAATTTTCCTTTCCTTTCTTTCCTCCCTCCAGCTCTCCCCTCTTCCTTCAACTTGTGAGTTTCAAATCCTATTTTAAGTGTATGTATTGTATTTTAATCTGTTTTGACCACACTGTTACTATTTAATTGTTTTTTAAACTTTTGTATCATGCTTTTTAGACTCGACTAAGTGTGGAATTGTTAGCCACCTTGAGTCTCCATGGGGAGAAAGGTAAATAAATAAAGGTAATAATAATAATAATAATAATAATAATGACTACTTCCCCTTTCTCTCTTCTTTCTTCCTTTCCTCTCCTCTCCTCACTTAACTTTCCTTTATTTTCCTTCCTTCCTCTTTCATTTATTTCTTCCTTTCTTCAACTTTTTCTCCTTTCCTTTGCTTCCTATCTTTCCTTCCATCCCACTCATCCCACTTTTGTTTTTCTCCTTCCTTCCCTTCCTCTCTTCCTCCTTCACCTATTTTCTTCCTTCCCTCCTTCTTTCCAACTGCCCATTATTTTTCCTTTCCTCCCCTTTCCCCCCATTTCCTTCTTCCCTCCTCTTTATTGTTTATTCCTTCCTCCCTCTCGCCTCTTTCCTCTCATTTCCTTCCTTCTTCTCCTCCTCTTCTTCTTTTCCCGACTTTGCTTTATTCCCCCCCTCTCTTCCATTTTCCTCTCATTTCCTTCCTTCTCTCCTTTATTTTCCCTTCCTTCCTTCCCCCTTTATTTGTTTCCTTCCTCTCTTCCTTCATTCATTCTCTCCTTTATTTTATTTCTTTCCTTCCTTCCCTCCCTCCCTCCTTTATTTTTCCTTCCTTCTCCCTTTTTTCCTGCCTCTCTTCCTTCCTCCTTTATTTTCTTTCTTTCTTTCCTTCCTTCTCCCTTCCTTCCCTCCTTTATTTTTTTCCTTCCTTCCTCCCCCTTTGTTTCCTTTCTCTTTTCCTTTCTGCTTTATTTTTCCTTCCTTCCCCCCTTTGTTTCCTTCCTCTTCTCCTTCCTTCCCTCCTTTATTTCTTTTTCCTTCCTTCCCCCTTTTTTCCTTCCTTCTTCCCTTCTTCCCTCCTTATTTTTTTCCTTTCTTCTTTCCTTCCCTCCCTTTTTTTTTTCTCCTTCCCTTCCTCCCTTTATTTTTCCTTCCTTTCCTTCCTTCCCTCCTTTATTTTTCCTTCCTTCCCTCTTTTTTTTTCTCCTTCCTTATTTTTCCTCCTTCCTCCTACCTCCTTCTCCTTTTTTCCTTCCTTCCCTTTTCCATTTTCCCTTTCTCCTTCTTCTTCTGACTTACTTTTATTCCCTCCCTTCCCCTTTTCCCCTCATTTCCTTCCTTCCTCCTTCATATCCTTCCTTCCCTCCTTATTTTTTTCCTTTCTTAATTCCCACATGTCTTCTTTCTTTCCCTCCTTTTTTTCTTTCCTTCCTCCCCACCTTTTTTTCTTCTTTCTTTTTTTTCCTCCTTCCTTCTTTCCTTCCTCCTTCCTTCCCTCCTTAATTTTTTCCTTTCTTAATTCCCACCTGTCTTCTTTCCTTCCCTCCTTAATTTTTCCTTCCTTCCTACCCTCCTTAATTTTTTCCTTCCTTCCCTCCTTTCCTTTTCCTTCCATCCCTTTTCCCTTTCTCCTCCTTCTTCTTCTGACTTACTTTTATTCCCTCCCTTCCCCTTTTCCCCTCATTTCCTTCCTTCCTCCTTCCCTTCCTTCCTTCCCTCCTTAATTTTTTCCTTTCTTCATTCCCACCTGTCTTCTTTCCTTCCCTCCTTTTTTCCTTTCCTTCCTTTATTTTTCCTTCCTTCTTCCCTTTTTCCCTTCTCTCTTTCTTCCTCTCTTTTTCCCCTTCCTTTTTTCCCTCTTCCCTTTTTCCCCTATTTCCTCCCTTCCTTTTCTGCCTGCGCCTCTTTCAGGAGGTGCCTCTTTCCCTCTTTCCCTCCCTCCCTCCCTCCCTCGGAGGATCCTCCTGCGCTTCTCTTCGGGGGAGTGTGGCTCCTCCTCCTCCTCCTCCCTCTCCTCCTCCTCTTTGGCCCAGGATGAGTCAGTGCCTTTGGGGCTGGGGCTGAGTCCGCCTCCTCCTCCTCCTCCTGCATCCCTCCGGCGGAGCATCCTTGGCCAACCCTGCCTTGGAAGCCCATCCTTTCTTGGGGAGCAGAGAGAGAATGGGAGTGGGGGCTCCGCGGAGGGGGAGAGGCTGGTCAGGCCCGGCCGGGGTGCCCCCCAGCATTGCGGGGAGGCGCTCTTAAAGGGCCAGGCAGCCTCCTTTCTCCCTCCTCCTCCTGAGCTTCCTAGCCATGGCCTTCAAGGATGGCATCACCGCCCAGACTTTGGGAGAGGGGAGGAGGCCTTGAAGCCTTTCTGTGACCTTCTCCTCTGGAGGAGACCCATTGGAAGGGGAGAAAGAGAGAGAGAGAGAGAGGAGGCAGCGCCATTGAGAAAGAGGAGGAGGAGGAGGAGGATTAGCCTCTGTCTCTCTGTCTGTGTGTCTCTGTTCCATCGCAAGCCTCTGTCCTTCCTTTCCCGGGGGAGGCAGGCAGGCATGGAGGCCATCTGGCTGTACCAGTTCCGCCTCATCGTCATCGGCGACTCCACGGTGGGCAAGTCCTGCCTCATCCGCCGCTTCACCGAGGGCCGCTTCGCCCAGGTCTCCGACCCCACCGTCGGCGTGGACTTCTTCTCCCGCCTCGTCGAGATCGAGCCCGGGAAGAGGATCAAGCTCCAGATCTGGGACACCGCCGGGCAAGAGAGGTTCCGGTGAGGAAGGGAACGGGGGAAATGAAGGGCCAGGAAGGGGGGACACAAGGGGGAGGAAGGGCCCACAGCCCTTAGGGGAAGGGCCAGGAGGAACACACCCGGCCTGCCTTCCCCTTCTTCCCCCTCTGATACATTCTATCCCTCTTCCCTTTCCTCCTGAGTATCCTCTTTGCCTTCCCCTTCTTCCCCTTCTTCCTCCTCTGATACATTCTATCCCTCTGCCCTTTCCTCCTGAGTATCCCATTTGTATCCTCTTTGCCTTCCCCTTCTTCCCCTTCTTCCCCCTCTTATACATTCTATCCCTCTTCCCTTTCCTCCTGAGTATCCTCTTTGCCTTCCCCTTCTTCCCCTTCTTCCTCCTCTGATACATTCTATCCCTCTGCCCTTTCCTCCTGAGTATCCCATTTGTATCCTCTTTGCCTTCCCCTTCTTCCCCTTCTTCCCCCTCTTATACATTCTATCCCTCTTCCCTTTCCTCCTGAGTATCCTCTTTGCCTTCCCCTTCTTCCCCTTCTTCCTCCTCTGATACATTCTATCCCTCTGCCCTTTCCTCCTGAGTATCCCATTTGTATCCTCTTTGCCTTCCCCTTCTTCCCCTTCTTCCCCCTCTTATACATTCTATCCCTCTTCCCTTTCCTCCTGAGTATCCTCTTTGCCTTCCCCTTCTTCCCCTTCTTCCTCCTCTGATACATTCTATCCCTCTGCCCTTTCCTCCTGAGTATCCCATTTGTATCCTCTTTGCCTTCCCCTTCTTCCCCTTCTTCCCCCTCTTATACATTCTATCCCTCTTCCCTTTCCTCCTGAGTATCCTCTTTGCCTTCCCCTTCTTCCCCTTCTTCCTCCTCTGATACATTCTATCCCTCTGCCCTTTCCTCCTGAGTATCCCATTTGTATCCTCTTTCCTTTCCTAAAGGAAACCATCCTTTCTCTCCCCCTTCTCCCCTTCTCCTTCTCCTTTGTATCCCACTTCCTCACCCCCCCAATCTAATAATAGTAATAATAAGAATTTTTTGTATTATTATTATTATTATTATTATTATTATTATTATTATTATTATGTTCCTCATTCCTCTCCTAAGGAGACTCTTTGCCCACCTCCCCATCTTAAAATACTAATACACATATAACAATATTAATACCCATCTAATAAAAGTAATAGTAAAAATAATAATTTATTTGTATCCTGCTTTTCTCTCCTAAAGGTACTGACCTATTGTTATTATCATTATCATTATTATTATTATTATGTCCCTCTTTCCTCCTAAGGAGACTCTTTGCCCACCTCCTCATCTAATAATACTAATACCCATCTCATAAAAGTAATTGTGTGTGTGTGTGTGTATAGCTTTTCTCCCAAAGGAGGTTCTGACTTAAATAATAATAATAATTATTATTATTATTATTATAATTATTATTATTATTATTATTATTATTATTATTATTAGTAACACAGCAAGATGAGTCCACAGCAGACAAGATCACTCTGCTGGCTGTTATATTGGATCACACATCAGACACTTCCCTATTATTATTATTATTATTATTATTATTATTATTATTATTATTATGTCCCTCTTTCTTCTCCTAAGGAGACTCTTCACCTACCTCCCCATCTAATAATACGAATACCCATCTAATAAAGTAATAGTAAAAATGATTTATTTGTATCCTGCTTTTCTTTCCTAAAGGAGGTTCTGACTTCTTATATTATATTATTTATTTACAACATTTATATGCCGCCCTTCTCACCCCAAAGGGGAATCAGAGCAGCTTACAAGGTATATGTATATATAATATATTATATTATTAGCATAGTACAGTATCATTATTATATATTACTATATTGTATTATACCATTATATGGTAATATTATTAGTAATATTACATGTAATATAAAATACAATATTGTATTATTATTATTAGTAGTAGTAGTATTATATTGTATTAGATTACAATATTATAAATATTATATGTATATACAATATATCATGTCCCTCTTTCCTCCTAAGGAGACTCTTTGCCCACCTCCCCATCTTAAAATACTAATACCCATCTTACAATACTAATACCCATCTAATAAYAGTAATAATAATAAAGGTTTGTATCTTGCCTTTCTTTCCTAAAGGAGGTTCTGACTTCCATTATTATTATTATTATTATTATTAGTATTATTATTATTATTTTCCTCATTCCTCTTCTAAGGAGACTCTTTCCCCACCTCCCCATCTTAAAATACTAATACCCATCTTACAATACTAATACCCATCTAATAATAGTAATAATAATAAAGGTTCGTATCCCACCTTTCTTTCCTAAAGGAGGTTCTGACTTCCATGATTATTATTATTATTATTATTATTATTATTATTATTATTATTATTATTATTTYCCTCATTCCTCTCCTAAGGAGMCTCCTTCCCCACCTCCCCATCTAATAATACTAATACCCATCTAATAAAAATAATAGTAAAAATAATAATTTATTTTCTTTCCTAAAGGAAACCATTCTTTCTCTACCCCTTTCCCCCTTCTTCTTCTCCTTGTATTCTGCATTTCTTTCCTAAAGGAGGTTCTGGCCTCATATTGTTGTTGTTTCTCTCTTTCCTCTCTTGAAGGAGGCTCTTCCCCACCACCCCATCTAATAATAGTTATAATAATTATTTGTATTCTGCTTTTCTTTCCCAAAGGAGGCTCTGAACTCAGTAGTAGTAGTAGTAGTAGTAGTACATCCCTCCTTCCTTTCCTGAAGGAGACCGATGGCCCTTCCAGACAGGTCCTATATCCCAGGATTTCATCCCAGGCTTTTTGCTTTAAACTGGATTATATGAGTTCCCACTGCCAGATAATCTGGGATAAACAGAAAACCTGTGATCAGATCCTGGAATATAGGGCCTGTCTGAAAGGGCCCTTTGCCCCTTCCTCCCCAACTAATAATAGTTATAATAATATTTTGGTATCCTGCTTTTCTTTCCTAAAGAAATCATAATCATCATCACCACTACCATATTATTATTATTATTATTATTATTATTATTGACACAAAAGCACAGTATGTCACAGCAAATGAGATCTATATGCTGGATTTCATATCACAAAATCACTATTATTGTTATTGTTATTATTATTATTATTATTATTTCCCTCTTTCCTCTCCTCTTTCGTATCACAAAATCATCATCATCATCATTATGTCCCTTTTTCCTCTCCTAAAGGATACTCTTGCCCACCTCCCCATCTTATTATTAATTTTTATCCTTTCCTAAAGATGATTATATTCCTCACAGTGTCTTCTTCATCTATCTTTCCCGACTACGCCACCAGAGCCACCGGTGGCACAGCAGGTTAAACTGCTGAGCTGCTGAACTTGCTGACAGAAAGGTCAGTGGTTCAAATCCGGAGAGTGGGGTGAGCTCCCACTGTTAAGCCCAGCTTCTGCCAATTTAGCAGTTCGAAAACATGCAAATGTGAGTAGATCAATAGGTACCACTCCAGCGGGAAGGTAATGGCACTCCATGCAGTCATGCTGGCCACATGACCTTGGGGGTGTCTATGGACAGCGCCGGCTCTTTGGCTTAGAAATGGAGAAGAGCACCAACCACCATCATCTCCTCCTCCTCCTCCTCTTCTTCTTCTTATTATTATTATCACTACTATTATTATTTCCATCTTTCTTCTTGTAAAGGAGACAGCTGTCTCTCAGAAGAGCACCAACCACCATCAACTCCTCTTCCTCCTTCTCCTCCTCCTCCTCTTCTTCTTCTTCTTCTTCTTCTTCTTCTTCTTCTTATTATTATTATTATCCCTACTATTATTATTTCCCTCTTTCCTCTCCTAAAGAAGATAGCTGTCCCGTCTCAGGGCCTCTCCTCCTCCTTTGGTCCCACATTCTCTCTTCCTCACCCCTTTCACCATAATCTTCCCCAATAACCTCTCAATCTTTTCTCGATTGTGGGGTACAAGGTGTGGTGTATTTTGGGGGGAGGACCATGTTTTGTCATTGCTGGGCTGGAAGTACAAGGGGAAGGGGAGTTATGGAGAGTAGAAAGGAATGGGGGGAATCTCAGGTGACATGGGCCTACAAGGAGATCTCCCAATTAGTAGTAGTAGTAATACTTACTTACTTAAGTACCAACAGTAGTAGTGGTGGTGGTGGTGGTATCTCAAGATGCATTCATTGCTCTCGCTGCCATTTTCCAGCCTTAGCCATATTCACTTGGACGTCTACGTGTTGGCATCTGGAGAGCCAAGAGCTCCTTCAGCTCCAAATCTTGGGGCAGCTTCTCTTTGTTGTCAAGATTGATATGATTTCGTTGCTATAAGTCAATGTTTCTTAACCTTCCTAATGCCACAACCCCTTAATATAGTTCCTCATGTTGTGTTGACTCCCAACCATAAAATTATTTTCGTTGCTACTTCATAACTGTAATTTTGCTACATTTGGAACAAAGACCCAATATGCCCAAATTTGAATACTGGTTTTTTTGCAGGACAATAGATTTTGTCATTTGGGAGTTGTAGTTGCTGGGGTGTATAGTTCACTTACAATCAAAGGGCATTCCAAATGCCACCAACAATGGAATGGAATTAAACTTGGCATGAATACTCAATATGCTGAGGTATGAACACTCGTGGAGTTTGGGGAAAATAGACCTTGACATTTGGGAGTTGTGGTGGCTGGGATTTATAGTTCACCTACAAACAAAGTTCATTCCGAACTCCACCAATGATGGAATTGAACCAAACTTGGCACACAGTACTCCCACGACCAACAGAAAATACTGGAAGGGTTTGGTGGGTACTGACCTTGAGTTTTGGAGTTGTAGTTCACCTACCTCCAGAGAGCACTGTGGACTCAAACAATGATAGATCTGGACCAAACTTGGCACGAATCTTCAATATGACCAAATGTGAACACTGGTGGAGTTTGGGGAAAATATACCTTGACACTTGGGAGTTGTAGTTGCTGGGATTTATAGTTCAGTTCCATTCAGACACCCCCT